AAAAAAAAAAAAAAAGAGTAGCTTTGTGCTTTTTGATAGCTATGCTGTAACATAAACAGGGATGTCCAACCTGTGGCCTCCGGGCCACATGCTGATTATTTAAGAACTCTTTTGCTTATCTCTGGTGTCTAATATTGCAAAAGTATGAATGGACCTTTTTGTTTTGCTTATCAACTTTTGTTAGTGTTTATGTTATTAATGTGTGGCCTGAGACAACACTTTAATTGCTAGAGAAAAGAAAACGGTCAGGCACGCAGAATAATACTTCTAAAAGATAGCGATTCTTAACTAGGTTCTGTTTTTAGTGTTTTGTTTTTTGAGATAGAGTCTCACTTTGTTGCCCTGGGTAGAGTGTTGTGGCACCATACCTCACAGCAACCTCAGACTCTTAGCTTGAACAATCCTCTTGCCTTAGCCTCCCGAGTAGCTGAAACTATAGGCATGTCCCACTATGCCTAATCCATTTTTCTATTTTTAGTAGAAACTAGGTCTTGCTCTTGCTTGGGCTGGTCTTGAACTCCTGAGTTCAAGCAATCCAGCTGCCTTGGCCTCCCAGAGCTCTAGGATTACAGGTGTGAGCCACCACGGCCGGCCAGGTTCTATTTCAGAGCCCACATTGAACATACTAAAATGCATTTGCCTCTGTTCCACCTCTGAATATCCTCATTCAGAGTCATGGGTGGGACAGAGTATGTATGTGTGTGTGTTTAACTTCTAGAGCATATTCTGATACATATCTCTAGATAAGAACTGTTTTAAATGGATAAGACTCGTTTTCCTCTGTTTTTTATTATGCATTGAGCATGCATTTTTTTTTTAATAAGACAGAATTTCACTCTGTTGCCCTGGGTAGAGTGCTGTGGTGTCATCGTAACTCACAGCAACCTCAAACTCCTGGGATCAAGTGATCCTCTTCCCTCAGCCTTCTGAGTACCTGGGACTATAGGTGCCTGCCACAACACATGGCTAATTGTTCTATTTTTAGTAGCAATAGGGGTCTCTCACTCTTGCTTAGTCTGGTCTTGAACTCCTAAGCTCAAGCAATCCACCCTCCTCGGCTTCCCTAAGTGCTAGGATTACAGGCGTGAGCCATTACACCTGGCCTTAAGCATGAATTTCTTGTGGAATTAATAGAAAATGCAGATAAGTATTAAAAAAGAAAAAAAATCACCTTCAATTCCTACTCCTGAGATAGCTTTTCTATGTGTGTAAGATTCATTAAACATCTCTGTATCTTCTCCTATTGCCCTGGCCTTCAGCAGAGTAGTAGTATATCTGAGTCAGATGTGTGAATCACTTCACTTAAAATGTAGTAAGATCTACAGTGAACCAAGTAGGGGAGGCTTTCTTGTCTGAACTTGCCACTGTGCTCCTGGAGGGACTGTAAGGTCTTAGTGATCACTCGTGAGCAGGGGTGAAAAGGAGACCCAGGGAGGGAATGGGGTTTGAACTGCCTCACTTTGTCTCTATTTTCAGCCAAGAGCCAAGCTCTGCTTTTAGCCACCATCTTTTATCAAAAATAAATATTAAAGTTTTATATAGCACTTGATTTTTATTTTAAGGTTTTCCTAGTTTTCCCTCTCCCTCCTAAGTCTATACATAGCTATTTCAAGCAAAACCCTTGTGGTCACAAAAAATTACTTGTTTGACTAGGAAGAACCATAGGGAAAATCTAGTCAATCTCTTATTTTAGAAATAAAAAGAATTAAAACTCAAAAAGATCCAGCCTAATGTCACATATCTAGGCCTCAGCCAGACCAATGTACATTTTTTTCCTTGATGTGACTGCTCGCCAGGCTAATGCACTTGAATTTACCAAGTTACCAAAAAACTGCTTTCTTCTAAGTATTTGTGTGGTTTGGGGTTGCTTATATTATGTTGTCCAATGTTAAGTATTTCTACAGATTCATTCATTCATTTTATGAGACAGAGTCTTACTTTGTCACCCGTGGCAGAGTGCCATGGCCTCACAGCAGCCTCAAACTCTTTGGCTCAAATGATCCTCTTGCCTCAGCCTCCCAAGTAGCTGGACTGCATAGCTGTTTTTAGAGATGGAGTCTGTCTCTAGCTGAGGCTGGTCTTGACCTCCTGAGCTCAGGCATCCCACCTGCCTCCGCTTCCCAGAGTGAATAATCTTTTAACTTTTAGTTAAAAGTTGTCATTTTGCTTGATAGCAATTATTTTAACTTACTGGATTTTGTTGAAAGCTAAAGACCGTGTGACGGTTCTACTTCCAAATAATGTATTTAATGTGCAAAAATATACATATTTTGTAAGTAATCTCTAAGATTTCAGGCTGTGAATAATTTCCCACATCTGAGATACATTCACCATAAAAAAAAAAAAAAAAAAACAGCTAAGCAAGGATCGCAGTGTCCACGCCCATGTGCCAAGCAGAAGTGTTGGTTTCCAGCTGCTGGAGATTGGAAATGTAAAATGTAAAATAAAGGCTGATATGCTGCCTGAGGCATCCATGAAGGAGTAGCCTAAAATATACCAGAAAAAATAAAATGACTTCCATAAACTTGTGAAAGAGCAAAGGAGGACCCCAAATAATCCTTTTATACGTAATACACGGAAATAACATGTCTTAATTGCTAGAAACACAAAATCAAGATTAGCAGAGTGGTTAAAGTTTAAAAAAACAGGAGAGTCTATTCAAGAGGATTGCTAAAACAATTCTGCCACAGATGTTAAAGCCATTGCCTCCAGTGAAAATGGCTGTAACTTTTATAAATAGTTGCCATAAATAGGTTCTCGTAAATAGGTATATTTGGCAAATTGGCCGTTTGGAAAATCTAGACATTCAGAAAATTGATTTTTGATAAATCGGCATGCTGTTGTCTGTGCCTTCGAGAGCAAATATTACTGCCCTAAAGTGTTCTTAGGAAGAAACTCATTGATCTATACACCATCAAACACATGTTACAAAACATCCAGACCCTGTGAGAGAAATCTTGATTGCTGCTTTTATTGTCGGTGGGAGAGGAAGGGAGTGTAGGGAGAGGGTACAAATTTTAAGTGTGTGTTGAACAATTGAGATATGAAATGGTATTTTCTGCCTGTGTTAGCATCGGCCTTCCCCTCGTGGAGAATCCTACCCATCTAAATAAAATCCACTTAGATTGCTAAGACATGTTCAACTAAAGAAAGTAGTAAGAAGGGCGGTAGAGCTGGACGACGCTCCCTGCCACCTCCTTTTCCTGCCAGGTCAGGGTATCGGATTCCTCTCATTAATTCAGTACAATCAGAGGCCGGCTCTATTTTGCTGTACTTTCCAACTCTGGCTTTCTAGGAATGCCATCTCTAACATGGTCTTTAACATCATTTCCTTACAAAGAGCACGCCCCCTCCCGCCCCCATGTGTTTATACTAGAGTAATAGCCCTTCACCTGTGCCTGGGCCACCGGGCGGAAAAGTGTTTCAGCAATGACATGAAGACATGTATCATTACTGCGTCTGTGGTGCCAGTGAGAATAAAATTGTCCCTGAGAAAGACAGGGAACGGGGGAGATGGTTCTTAATATCCTTTAAACCATGGGTTTTTTGACCACAAGTCAATTTGTATGGGCAACCAGGACTGTGAGCTCAAGTGTTTAATTACTACCTTGGATTTCTTACTGTTTAGCCATGCAATTTGGAAGCATCCCCTGGTTGGTATTTTGTATTGCAAGAGGAAACGTCTTCATCATAAAGATAGCGCCTGTAGCGCTTGGCTGTCGTTCCAAATTTTTTCTCTTACTAGGAAAAAGTAATTTTGAAGGCATGAATCCAGTAATTGCACCCCCTGGACCACTTCAAATCTTTATTTTCACCTTTGCAGGGCGCTGCAGCCAACCCAGAGAATGAGGACCAGCAGCAGAGGCTGAGAGAAGCGGCGGAAGGTCTCCGGGTAGCCACGAATGCCGCTGCCCAGAATGCTATTAAGAAAAAAATTGTCAACAGACTGGAGGTCAGGAAAGAGGCTGGCTTTCTGGGTTGCCTATTTCAGATTGCAAAGAGTTCCCTGAAAAACATAGTTGAATTAACACGATAATGGCCACATAAACAAAGCTAAATCAAGGTCAACAATATCCTTGGATAGTTTAGGAACTGCAAAGGCATTGCCGGTATTGTAGAAATTGCTGCTTCGGTTAGCTAATATTCTTTCACATCAGGAATAGAATGCAGGTTTTTTAAGGAGGAACACGGGATTATTTTTCCCCCCTTCTGGCCTTTAGGATCTACACATTCAAGAAGGACCTTTTGCTAAAAATACTTATATTTTGTTTGAGGCAATGCCTTTTTCAGGGCTTCCCAGAAAAATATGCCGAGCTAGAGATCAGGCTGAAGGAGGGAGGTTTGAAAGGGAATAAGAAGAAATATTTTGCCATTTGGGGGAATATTTCTGCTGGGGAAAAAAAAAAAGTTGAAAATAGTAAGAGGCACTAATTATGCAAAGAAAATAAATTCTCTCCTTGGCGTAAGAGGCTATACTAAAATTTGGGGGCTTGGAAGCCAAGAAGCTGCCTGTGTAATGAGGAATTCCTCCCTATGCAGGCTGCTGTATTCTGAAGGAAGTTAGCTTAGGAGGAGATGAGAAAGGAAATAGGATTAAGTGCCCTGGTGGGAAATTCTCAGCATTTCTGAACCAAGGCTTCCCAGTGTTAGGCGAGGGAATTCAGGGTCATCAGGGTTTGTTCTTGATACACAAGCCTGTGCTGCTTATGGGAGATCTTTTTTTTCCTAAAACATTTAGGCTTGGTGCAGCTTCTCAGTGCCATACTCTTGAAGTGGTCCCTGGTGTTTTGTAGAAAGATAAAGGAACATCAGGACTGGAACTTTAAAGTGTGCCGTCTTTATCACTCATCCCAGGGAACGTCAACCCAAGGAAGATAAAAGGGTGTTATGAGGTTAGGTTTAAGGTTTTGAAAATAAGGCAGGGTCTGCTCTTGGAGTGCCTTAGAGCGGCAGACCTGTGCCCAACCCTTTGGTGGAAGTGACGTGAAGACGGTGCCCACGTGTCTGTCTCACTCTCCTCGCCAGGTCGCGGCCAAACAGGCTGCAGCAGCCGCCACGCAGACCATCGCTGCCTCCCAGAATGCGGCCGTTTCCAACAAGAACCCCGCGGCCCAGCAGCAGCTGGTCCAGAGCTGCAAGGTGAGGGGCTGGGTCTGCCGTGGATGACCCTGATAGCATTAGAATGCCAAGTGCCCTGGTAATTCACTTAACACAGATTTTCCAAGGCCCCTAATCCGGTTTGCTCTGACTCCCGTGTGCCAGGTACACACACATCTGGTTTTTGTCTGTTAAGTGGATGGCCTGGGCTTGGAGGGAGGGTATGGTGTTTTCCTAACATTGTCTTTCCTTTGTCCACATTTCTTTTTGAGAGATTGAATCAAAAAGGATTAGTGCTGAGGCCATTTTAGGGCCCTGAAATATTAATGGAGCGTTGGATTTCTAGAATGCCTCGCTCTGAGAGGTGGGCCCTGGCACTTAGTTTTACTCACTGTAGCTTGGTTAATTTCATGCTTTCTGCCACTCCACCTTGATGATTGCTTTCCCCCGTCTGGTCTCTGGGACACTGTGTTAGTGCTTTCTGTTGTTGCTGTTTGGCTCTGTCCTGCTGATAACCAGGCCTTGATGCTAAGTTGGGGTTACTGCGAAGGGCACAGTGAACAACCTTATTGCCTTCTTCGGGAGCTGATGCTCCCCGGGTACCTGTCAGTGGTCAGAGACCCAAAATCCAGTTGGGGAGCCCCTGCCCACGTGTAATGTGTCTGACTGGTATGTCCCCAAGAGTATTTGCAGTTAACAGAGGAGCTAGGTGAGAGGCATGTTTGCCAGTGCTCGGCCCATGAGAACTAACCACCCTCTCTTGTCCTCTAATCTCCTCTGTAAAATAACAATTCACCTGTGAGGGGTGTCACTGCTACTCCTTCAGAAATGGGTTTTTTCTGAGTGGGAACTGCCCTCTATTCCTGGTTCTGGTCTCTGAGGCCAGCCCACTGTGGACTGATGTGCTCTAGTAGGAGAAGCCTCAGCAGTGCACTGGGCTCCTGGGCCCATGGCCTTAGGTCCTGTGTGGATGGAGGAGGGGTCTTGCTGAGAGGGAGGCCCCTGCTCTGGGAAGTCTGTTTCCTCTTGGGATCCCAGCTCAGCCACCAGTAGGCATGGAGCCGTGGCCTTTCCCCTCCATGGGGAGGGGCTGGCATCTGGGGAAATGCCACAGGCTGGACATCCCTGCCTCTCCTTTGCAAAGAGACTGAAGATAATAGGTTTCTGAGTGTCACTACCAGTTAATAAGAGGGTCACTATCAGGTTGAGGTAGAGAGGAGAAAGTGGACTAAGTTATAGGAACCCGTAGTGCTGATTGGGGAAAATTCCATGGCAAATTTTTTTTAACCCTTGCTGGAACAAATTCCTGGGGAAAAAAAAAACCAAAAAATGTGTCACCAAGCCAGGATGCACCAGGTCCCTTTTATTAGTAATGGTGGCACTGTTCCATGACCTCTGGGAGCCCGGCTTATTGAGGGGCTCTGGGCCCAGAGGGGAAATGTGGGTGGAGTACAGAGAAGGCAGAAGGCTCCTCTCCTCAAGCACCCGTAGGAGATGGTTACTTTGCAGCAGGCTTGCCCCACAAAATGCTGCTGCTCCCTCCTTTACTTCCTACATTCTGGCTGTAGGATTTCCAGGCTGAGTAATGAGAAGTGCTACTTAGAACAAAGAAAGGGGGCCATGACAGCAGGAAAGCTAATGCAGTCCACAACTGTGAAGAGGCCTAAGCACTTACCATTGCTGGGCTGAGTATGGTAACTTTCTTCTGATCATGGGACCGTATGACTTCAGTTTATCCACCTGTGAATTGTGTAGATCATTTGATTCCAGGTTTGTAACCCCAGTGAGCCACGGCGGTGTGAGTTGCAACCTACGGAAATTATTTTCAGGCCTCATTATAGAGAATCATCTTCTGTGGAACATATTGCTACCTTCAAGACTACAGGGTAGAGTGTGTGGGGAGGAGAGTGCCCAGGGAATGGGATTCAGTGTTGGTGAGGACCCAGCTGGCTAAAGGGGCCGTGTCAGCCCCAGACCTGGGACCGGCATCCCCTGGGAATGGGTATAGCCCATGAAAAGGTCCATCACTGGGGCACTGTCTGAGCTCTTTTGACAGTTCCACCTCCTAGCTGTGCTCATTTTGTATTTCCTTGTGTCCTGTAGGCAGTGGCTGATCACATCCCTCAGCTGGTGCAGGGGGTGAGGGGGAGCCAGGCTCAAGCAGAAGACCTCAGTGCCCAGCTGGCACTCATCATCTCCAGCCAGAACTTCCTCCAGGTAACCCAGGAGCGGTCACCCACGGCTCACCCAAAATCCCCACCTGGGCGGCCTTGCCCTTTAAGCACAGAAATTAACGAATTCCACAGCCTTAGCTAAGTCTTTGCAGTAAGCAGGACTTGGCGGTGTCCTCTTTCTTTGCATTTCCTGTTTCAGAAGAGGTCAGTGAGCTTGGCAAAGTGAAATACCAATATGCAGGGAAATTGCCCCGGGGAGTTGGCTCACGATCCATTTTCTCAGGATTATCATATTTATTTCTCTTCTAAGAGAGAAAACATGCGATAAGTTACACATTGTGATGAACAGCCTAGGACTAGGTATTGCTCTAGGTTTCCCTGTTTGCAGAGGGCCTAATGCTACTATCTGTAGACTGGGGAAAAGGAAGTGAAAAGCACATCTTCTCCCCAGACGTGATCCTTCTTTACCGCACTTGGACAGTTAGAAGTGTCAGTCTTTGTAGGGGTGGGAGTGGATTCATTGTAAGGCAAGTTAAATGATGAGAATATTAAGTGGTGGGGAAACTCCCTTTGACCTCCTTCTTATATTCACATTTCTCTACTTTATCAGTACTTTTTCTCTGCTTATATCTCAGAAACAGGTGATATGATTAAGCAATTTAATTCCTCTTCCCTTCTAGTTCAAGTCATAAATGCAGGACCCAGTGGTACATCTATGTGGTTTATTTTTCAAGTATTGTAATTCCAAGATGCAGAGAAAAAACATGAGAGCTTTGATGTATTTCCTAATACTTCAACTACACATATACACACGCAGGAATGGATGTATATGTGTATATTCTTTTAAATTAGGATCCATTATCTATCGGCCCTTTGTGCTTTCCTTATAACAAACATTATGAACATTTGTTTTAAATAATCTATCATATGGCCATACTCTGTACTTAACCATCCTCCCATCTTCAGACATAGGGATTTTAGGGTTTTTAATATTATAAATAAACAATGATGTGATAAAAATCTTTGCTCAGATCTTTGTTCCCTTCTTGAAATATTTCCTTAGAGGAAATTCCTAGAAATAGGATCACAAGCCGCTTATTGTTATCTTTGGGACGTGGAGAATTGTGACTTGGACAAGATATTTCTCTTTCCATTTTGTGGGGGGGGGGTGGGGGTGGAGAGCCTGGCCCAGGAGTGTTGGGCATCCTGATGGAGCAGTGTAGACAAGCTCCTGGCCCCACTATGTCCCTGGCCTTGTTTTTCTTTTTCTTTTGTGCTTTTGACATTGCTACCGCAGACACTCAGATCTTTACATGAAAAAGGCAAGGTTGAAAATGAATAAAACAGAACTGACAGATCAAAAAGTTTGGACATTTTAAACTTTCTTCCTACATGTTGTAAAATTGTCCTTCCAGAAGGATGAACAAATCTAAATTTACAACTAGCAGTATATGGAGCACACTTTTTCATCTTTTATGAGATGGGGAATTAAACATTGAAAAAAATACATGTTTTTGCCAATTTGCTCTGTAAAAGTTCCTTTTGATTTTACATTTAACATGTGTACACGCACATACACATCAATGCATGGTGAAGTCACCTTGGGGGTGAGATGGGAGGTCATCTGGTGTTATTTGTCTGCCTTCGTTTTTCTAAATAGTCTATTGAGGACAGTTGAAACTCAGAATAAAGAGCTATTCCAAGAAACACAAAGAAACCTATTTAATAAAGATTTCCTCTTTGAAATTTGTTTTAAATGGAGAATCTCAAACCACTATCCTAATTTTGGCTTCCCAACCCTCATGAAACTTTTTTTTAAAAAGCATTTCTAGAACATACTACCTCAGAGTATCTGATTTGGGGTGGCAATTATGTGTGTAGCAGGTGGACTAGTTGAATATTTCCTTTTTTAGGGCAAAGTAAGTTGAGGCCGATCGGAAGGCATGGCTGTTTAGATCTCTCTTGTCTGCCTCTCGCTGTCCAGGCGGAGCTATCTTTCTTTCTGTTGATCTCTCTATAGCCTGGAAGCAAGATGGTGTCCTCTGCCAAAGCTGCCGTGCCCACCGTGAGTGACCAGGCCGCAGCCATGCAGCTGAGCCAGTGCGCCAAGAACCTGGCTACCAGTTTGGCGGAGCTGCGCACTGCCTCGCAGAAGGTAAGTGGAGCCTTGTCACGGCTGGTAGCTCGTCAGAAGTGGAGCCTTTTATTCCTCACCGTCAGTGGGGCTTGGGTGCTGCCCAGGACCCGAATGCTCCTAGACTTCATTTCTTGCCAGAGTTGTCCATTCCATTTGCATGATCACCGAGGTGCTCCCGGAGATTGGCTGTTACTGCAGTTTGCCTCTGTCTTCCAGACTTAGTTACCACCTTCTGGTTCCAGATGACTTTTGTTGAACTATTTTAAGTTGATGGCTTCCTCCTCCTCCACCACCTACTCCCATATCCTGAGACAAGCATTCATCCACTTTCCACAGTCTCAAAGGAGACTGCGGCTAGGTGCAGTGGCTCACATCTGTAATCCTAGTACTCTGGGAGGCCAAGGCAGGTGGATCGCCCAAGCGCAGGACTTTGAGACCAGCCTAAGCAAAAAGCAAGACTCTGACGCTACTAAAAAGAGAGAAACCATCCAGGCATTGTGGCAGGCACCTGTAGTCCCAGCTACTTGAGGAGTGGCTGAGGCAGGAGGATTGCTTCAGCCTAGGATTTGAGGTTTCTGTAAGCTGTGACACCATGGCACTCTAGCCTAGGCAATAAGGTGAGACTCTGTCTCAAAAAAAAAAGACTGATAGTTAACAGTGTCTTGTGCCATGAAGGTTGCAGACCAGAATAAGTGATTGTATATTCTAGATAGCATCTTGTGAACTTAATAACAAATAATTTAGGCAGACAATCATGTATATAGTCTTTTTTGCCCTATAAAGTTTAAACATCTTTCATTTAAGCACTCACCCTCGCAAGGTGCCCAAGAGAACAGAATTAGGGAGTAAATGAATTTCTGTCTCTAGAACTTATTAATTACCAAAGGACTTCCTTCCTACTGTTTGATGTAATATTAGCATGAAGTTCTAGCATGAACTCGTTCTTCCTCTTTGTAGTGATTCCTATATTAGAAATAAGCAACCTCAAATTCCTGGGCTCAGGTGATCCTCCTGCCCCAGCCTCCCTCCCAAGTAACTGGAACTACAGGCACCTACTGCAATGTCCCACTAATTTTTTCTATTTTTGGTAGAGACGAGGTCTTGCTTTTGCTCAGGCTGGTCTCCAACCCTTGACTTCCGCCATTCCACCTGCCTGAGCCTCCCTGAGTGCTAGGATTACAGATTTGAGCCACCTGCTTGACTGACTTGAATTCCTAATATGAGCAGCATGCTACATTGCCAAAGAAAAATATCCAGAGCTTTAGACTATGTCTGGTAAAAAAGTGTTTTGAACCAGGTTTCCGAAGAGAAGTCTCGGGACTATTGCCATGGAATCACCTGGGGTTGCTAATTAGAATTCAGGTCCCTGGGCCTTCCCTCTGGGTAGCCAAACAGAATCTCTGTTCATAGAGCCCCGGTGTCTACATTTTAACAGGTTTTTTATGGTGAACCTAAGATACACACCAACATCGAACAGCTGCTCTGAAAGAGTGATTTCCCCAAAGTGGGACTTAAGTAAGATTGTCTACTGCATGCAGGAAGATTCCACTGTGAGAGCTTGTGAATATATATATATTTTTAATATAATATAACAGTTAAGCATGCAGGCTCTAGAATCAGACTGTCTCCATTCAATCCTGTCTTGCCATTGATTGATTTTGTGACCTAGGCAAGTTAGTTAACCAATATGTACCTCAGTCTCCTAGCCAAGTAATACTGGTACATAGAAATCAATTAATTGGCATTTACTGTTCCTGCCATTACAGTTTTCTAATAAAAAGGGAAGAAATTAAGATTTGTCAGTATTTGGGTTACTGATTAACAATTACTCAACACATATAACTTGTTTACATGTGTATATTAAAGCCATGTAATCAATGCATTTGGAGACTAATGTTCTAAATGATCAAGAGAATGCAGTTTTGTTGAAACAAATAACTGAGGAATAAACGTGTATAATCTCCAGTATGGAAAGGAAATGACATTTGTAAAGAGAATCAGTCAGGTTGGTATGGACTTGCCCCCAGAGTCCTGGGTGGTTTCTTTGTTCATTCATTCCCTGCCCACTTGCCATGCCTGTATACACACATACTGTGCTGGAGTGCTCTGTGCCTAGAACCCAGCCACGGTGGAGAAAGGATTCAGTACATCTAAGAGGCGAATGCATATCAGATAAAATAGCTTCACGAAGACTTAAAGGCTCTAAGTTATGAGATACACATGGGTGATGATTTGGGCAGTTACAGCATTGAGGTTCTGACTGAGGATGATTTTGTTCTCTTGAGGAAATTACTTCCCTTACCACCTCCTGCTAGGTCTGGAGAATCACTGGGTTTATCCGGGAAGGTATTTCCTAGAGCTGCAAAGTATTGGGAACACTTGCCCCAAGCAGGCTGTGTACAGATATTCCCAAATTCTCTGTTGACAGGCCCATGAAGCCTGTGGCCCTATGGAAATTGATTCCGCTCTGAACACCGTGCAGACACTTAAGAACGAACTGCAGGATGCCAAGGTGGCTGCCGTGGAAAGCCAGCTGAAACCACTCCCAGGGGAGACGGTGAGCTGTGAGAGCCCGCCGGGTGCGGGGCCTCCCTGTGATGATGACCTCAAATTGGCGGTTATGATGATGTCTGTTCTTGGTTGCTGAACTGTTTGTTGTTATGATGTTTGTTAGATGTTGAGAGGTTTCTAATCCTGTGGCCTTTTTCTGAAAAGAATGCCTAGTGTGGCTGGAGGAATTGGGTTTGGAAATAGGAGTTCTGTCTTCTAGACCCAGCGGTATCATCAACTAGCTGTGTCTTCACTGCGTTCCAGGTGCCTTGTCTATGAAATGGGTGGCGATGAGGTTATAATGCTAAACATGGAAAAGATTATCAACAGTCGTGCTTTCTGAAAAACATTTGGTTAACAAAACATGGGGATGAACAATGGCAGAGCAATACAGTAAAGCCACAATTGGAAATGGCACGTAACTTTGGTCATGTTACGAAGCCTCCGGATGCCAGTGTCAGGGCTGTCTTAGCCAGCATTTTACCAGCCCTCCTCATTACGATGCACTTGCTTTCCCAGATTATTGGACATTGCTGATAAGATGCCACCATTTATTAAGCATCATTTAGGCACTGTGCACAATCTAGTTTATCCTGGTGGTCATCTTAAGACACACGTTTTATTAACCCCATTTACAGCTGAGAAAACAGAGGCACAGAGATTGTCACATTCTGTCCAGCATTATCTGCCAGTTAGTGGCAGAATCAAGGTTTGAATCTAGATCTGTAGGACTCTAAAATCTGTATTCTTGAGAGCTTCTACTCTTAACTATAGCTGCTCGCTCTTTAAATGAACTAAAGACTTCTAGGCGGTAAAGGAGCATCTAATGTACTGTAAATAGAACAATGCCTTGTACGTCGGAAGCACTCAGGAAATATTTAAGTCAAGGTACCCCTCATTGCAAAGCTGAGGAAACTCAGAGAGGTTAAGTCACTTAACTGAGGTGACCCAGCTAATGATAAAGTGGAGACTGGCTTGTGGGCCAGCAGCTTTGCAGAGTGGTGCAGGAATCTCTGCAACCTTCTGTGCTCCAGGGAGCCCAGGAGAAGTTGGGGTAACGTGTATTCTACCCTTTCATTTAAGTGGCCAGTTAGAATGCAAAAAGTATCATGAAATTTTTGAAGAAATTGTTTGTCCTAAAAAACATGTATACTATGTTATAACATATTATATAACATAGTTATAACATAGGCTGTAATGGACCAGGCTCTTTTATTTTTATTCGAAGGTTAAAATGCATTTGTTCTCTGATGCCTTTTTGCACTCGGACGGTACACCTGGAAGTTCTCTTTCAAAATGTCATCCTCAGCTAGTAACCAAATTATCATCTATACCCTGGGCCCTTTCTGACTTTGTTCTCCAGATTCTCTATTCAGTTTGCAAAGCAAGGTAACATGCTATTCCTGGGAAACAAGCACTTTGCCTGTTTTCTTAATCTTATTTACCGCTCCAAACCTCTGTTCCTATTGCATTTCCTTTCCGTTGGAACTCCTCAAAGTGTAATGATCAAATTGAACAATGTTAATGGCCCCACATGCCAGGAAGGTGGTGCAGCTGGACGTCTGCCCACTTCCTGCCAAGGCATAATTAATTCCCGCTAAGGATTTGTTGCAGACTTTCTAAATTAGCTTCTAAAGTCATGTTACTAATAGCTACCATTTGTTGAGAGCCTACATTAATTTTCTGAAAACCTCTGAGCTAAGTATTATGGTCTCTCAGGAAACTGAAGCCTGGAGAGGTTCAGTAACTCCCCCGATCTCAGGCTAGTAATTGCAAGGTGGGAGCCCAGGGCAGGGATTTGCACCCAGGTGTGCTTGTTCTAACGCTCAGGCTCTCTCTCCCGTTATCACTCTGCTGCTCCTTAGTGCCACTGGCGTATTCTGTGGGAAATGGCTGAAGCTCAAGGTTTTATCCACATTATCTTTCTATACTATGCTATGACCTCAGTGGATGTTTCTTTTCTTCTAAATTCTCTTCCTCCTCAAATATTCTTATAGCTGGAAAAATGTGCTCAGGACCTGGGAAGCACATCTAAGGCTGTGGGCTCCTCCATGGCGCAGCTCCTGACCTGCGCAGCTCAAGGCAATGAGCACTACACAGGTGAGACTCGAGCCTGTCCTGATGCCCTGTGGCCAGGTGCAGGCCCCCCGGGTGGGGTTGGGGAGCTCATAGGTCTGACAACGCAGCTGCCTTTTTCCCATTAGAACTTCACCCTGTATTTTGCAAGCACTTTCCATGGGCTTATTACTGAGCATACCAAGACTAACAAAATATGATTCCCCCAGACTCATTACCCCTACTAGACTGTGAATAAACAGCAGTTACAGATTTCTAGAACTCTGTCTGGCTTCCTGAAATCCCACTAAAGTAAAGGAATAAAAAAATAAGAGATGGCAACAAATAAGATGTCAATGAAATTTTTGAAGGTGGAAGGAGAAAAACACTCCTTTGGTAACTGGCAGAGATGAATGACCTGACAGGTCGGGAAGTCAGCGAGAAGCAAGATGATTTGTGCTGCAAACCCTGTGTGCAGGGGGCATTGAGCATTGGTGATGCCAGGCGCCCCTGAAGGCAGGAAACTCCTTCCTCCCACTCCCAACCTCCATGAGACTCCTTAAACAGGAGTCCGTCTATATAAGGAACAGAATGCATAATTTTCAACTCTAAGAAAAGTGGAAAGTTATACATAAAGGAAATGTTATCATAGTAGGAAGTCTATACATATCTCAGATTTAAAAACCAAGAAGTTTCAGTATAAGCACGTTGGTAAAAATAGATGAGCTGTTGGAAGAAAGCATCAAGAATCCAGAGGCTCTAACAGTGGGGATCGGGAGGGAAGGAGTGGATGGGGGTTATGGCTGTTATACGGTAGCAGCGTTTGGCTTTTTTTGACATACACATTATTATTGATACACAAGGCAGCATAAATCCAAAGTGGGGACTTTTATGAGTTGCCACAAATTGAATGCACCGAGGAAGCCACAACCCAGGTTGAGAAGTAGACACTTTTGGCATCCCACATATCCCCCTTTGCAATCAACTGTATCTCCTCTTTCCTCCAGAGGTGGACACCCCTGACCTTTAACAGCAGAGATGAATTTTGCCTGGTTTTTCACTATAAAGAAATGGATTAAGTGGCGTTTGCTCAGCACTGTTTGTGAGACGTGTGGTGCATGTAGCAGTTCTGTCACATCCATTGATTAGTATTTCAGTGTCTGAACATACCTGTTATTTATGATGTTGATGAATATTTGGGTTATTTCCAAAAATCTCTGCTATGAACATGCTGCTACCTGTTAGTGAACAGAAGCATTTTCTAGATCTATACTGGAAGTGGGGTAGCTGGGTCGGAGGCTCTGCATATGGTTAGGACGTTCCTTTCTGCAGTGTATGAAAATGCCATTGTTCCCCATCCTCGTCACCACTTTGTATTGCCAGCCTTTCGATTTTAGCCCTGTGGTGAGTGTGTAGTGTCACGTTAAGATTTTAATTTGAATTTCCCTGGAGAACAGGGTATTCCCCTGTGAACAGTCTTTTCATAGGTTTATTGGTCATTTTATGTGTTTATATCTTTTGCCCATTTTTTGAAAAGTAGGTTACTTATTTTTTCCTTGTTTGTAGGAAATCTTTATCACTTGTATTTCTTATATCTTGTGACTTAGCTTTTTATCTCCTAAAGGTATTTTTTGATGAATAAAATGTCTTTTAAAAATGTATGATACAAGAGGGACTCTACCTAACAAATTCAAACATTATGAGCTGGCTCTTTGTACCCTCACAATAATCTGAAATTTTAAAAAATCAATCAATGAATTAGAACTAAATGATAAAAAAGTTATAATACAGTCCAGTTTACAGGGTTTTTCAGCTTTATGGTTGATACTTTTTTGTGTCCTGTTTTAAAACTTCTGCCTATCCAAAATCAAGCAGATACTCTCCTCTGTTAGATTCTAGAGCTTTATTGTTTAGCTTTTGATGTTTAGAGCTGTGATTATGTGCAGTAGGGTTCCAGTTTAACTGCTTTTTCACCTGGATATCCACTTGGCCCAGCGCCACTGACTCAAACACTATCCTTTCCCCAGGATGGTGCTGGTGACGCATCATTGTAAAATAAGTGAACATAACATGAGCGAGTCATTTTGTGGTACTTCCGTTCTTTAACAGATTTAATTGTCTGCTTTTGTGTTAGTGCCACACTTTCCTAACAACTGTGCTGCGGTTTTATCCTAAATCTTAGTGTCTAGTAATGTGAGTCCTCCAACTTCCCTGGTCTTCCTCAAGTTAGTGTTGACTATTCTTTGCCTTTTACATTTCCACATAAGTTCTAGAATCAGCCTGTTTAATATCTGGATCACCCATGGGTCTGTTTTTATAGTCAGTTTTTTAAATTTTCCTTTTGATTTTCAGCATTGGCCTTGTCCTCCAAGTTTCTGATGCTTTTTTCCTTTAACACTGGGCATTGGTATTTTACATTGTAGAGATAATCTGAGGCCCTGAATTGCGTTGTTTTCCCTACGTAGGATTCCTCTTTGCTTCTGGCAGGACTGATTATAATAAAAATATGAAGGCTGAGGCCGGATGCAGTGGCTCACACCTGTAATCCCAGAGGGAGGCTGAGGTGGGTGGATTGCTTGAGCTCAAGGAGTTCGAGACCAGCCTGAGCAAGAGTGAGACCTCATCTCTACTAAAAATAGAAAAACTAGGTAGGCATGGTGGCACAAGCCCATGGTTCCAGCTACTCAGGAGGCCGAGGCAAGAAGGTTGCTCGAGCCCAGGAGTTTGAGGTTGCTGTGAGCTAGATGCCACCTCACTTTACCTAGGGGGACAGAGTGAGACTTTGTCTCAAAAAAAAAAAAGAAAAAAGTGAGGGCTGAGAGTTGATTAGAAAGTGAAAATTTTATTTCTGGTTTTATTTCCACCTCTTAGGGTGTAGCTCTTTTTGTGTCCCCTCTAAAAGGCTGAGGTGTCTACCAGGCTGTTGCATTTCTGAGGGTCAGAACTATGCTTTTTATCTTCCTAGCCCGTGAGATTTCAGGTGGCTTTTGCCAAGAAGTTCTCGCCTTCCTGGCAACAGGTTACAAATTAGGAAATGCCCAACCACTAAGTTTGGTCTCTCTGCTCTGTGTCTTCCTCCTTTTCAGGATCATATCCTTCTTTATCTTGGTATCTTCAGATACATGTTTTCCTGTGTTTGTAGTTGTTTCTTTATGAGAAGGTTGATTTGTGATAAATTATTCTGCCATTGCTATAAGCAAAATCCTCTGGGATTTGTAAAACCGTGTACATTTATTACTTCGAAAATCAAAATTAAAAATCATAACAAAAATGCAAGACGTGATGGTATAGTATAATATAGTACCTGTCATAATAAAAATGTATAATTTGGTCCCAATGGGAGGGTAGAGGGAAATTTTCAGAACAGAATTAACTCCTGGCCAGGGTTTTGAGGATTATTTAGAACTCCTCTAGCATTTGAGAGAGAGGGAAAGTGTATATAAATTTTTATACAACATAGGGTTCTATCAGGCATTTATATTTTGAAAATTTCTATGTAATTGACGAAATGTAAATTTAGAAGAGGGAAGACTGTCGTACAAATTACATCCTTTGATGATGTATAGAAAGACAGGCTAGAAATAGCACCATTTAGCTTTGACAGGCTTTGAAAGGAAGTTTGGAAGTGGGCGCTGCATGGATAATGTCTGAGCAGTGAGAGAAAAGGCTGACTGAAAGAGGTAAGGGTGGCTAAGGTGGCGGGCAGAGAGGAGAGGAGAAAGATCGGGCAGGAAAGGTAGGGCAGGGGCAGATGCTACAGGGCCTCGTAAGCCCGTATGAATCAGAGGGACTTTAACTGAAAAGCACGTGTGAAATTTGCCAGCTGTGGATGTAGCTCAGCTGGCCTTTCATGTAGGTCGCCCTTCCTCCCACGTGTAGAACAAATAGGTTAGAAACAAAGTTGGAGGCAGGAAGACCAGCAAGCAGGCTGCTTTGCATTAATCCAGATTAGAGAGATGGTTGTATCCTGCAGTGGAGACAAAGGGATGGATTAAAGAAGCAAAGACACCCCTCTTCTTGATGATTGGTTAGAAATTGGCAGGGGTGGAGGTAAGGAAGGTAACATGGACACCTCCAAGTGTTTGGCTGACTGCTGAGTAAAGAGTCGTATGAATTACTGTGAAGGGAACACAGGACCATCTTAGAGGTAGGGATTGGGTGAGGGAGCTGAAGTTCAAGGACGCAGGGCTGTACTACAGATGTATTTGGTTTGAAGCCCCTAGAGAATGCAGGAGTGGAGATGTCATTAGGTGGGCAGCTCTTTGTCTCCAGGACTCAGTAGAGAAGGCTGGGCTGGAAGATGCAACGTTTGAAAAGTGGTGAAGTGATAATGATTGAGACCATGGAAGTGAATAAGTTTGCCTACGGGAAGTGGTAGAGCAGTGGTTCTGAACCTCCCTAATGCCGTGACCCTTTGATACAATTCCTCATGTTGTGATGACCCCCCAACCATAAAATTATTTTACTTCATATAGTAACAATGAACATAATTTTATGGTTGGGGGTCACCACAACATGAGGAACTGTATCAAAGGGTCATGGCGTTAGGAAGTTTCAGAAGTACTGTGGTAAAGTGAGAGAAAGTTTATAACCTATAACCCGGGAGAACCCAACTAGTTAAGGAGGAAACTGAACAGTGGAAATCTTTAAAAGAAACGAGGGCATGCAGCTGCCGAAATGAGGGCAGGGAAGCCAGCAGCGAATGATCTTCCAGAGCCAAACCCATGGTTGCAGCCCAGGAAGTTTTGTGTTTCTGTGTGTGTGGTGGGAGGGGCGTGGGAGGGAGGATACTTAAGAAGCATCCATTAGCTTTGAGAATAAGGAGGTCACTGCTGTCCTGGTTGGAGGCCGGTTCAGGAAAGTTGAAGAATGGGTAGGAAGTAAGAGAGGCAAGGCAAGTGTGGGCGAGTTCTTCCCGGGTCTCAGTTCCTTCATCCACAGCTGAGGTGTGTGGGATAGTCAGCAGTTAAATGTGAGCTGCCACCAGGCTGTATTCTAACGCACATGTGTTTTTGCTTGGCCCCCACGACATGCAAAATACACTTCTACATAGCTGAATAGTTTACACAGACAGAACCTTTCTCTAATACTGTAGAACCTCTGGAAGTTGACCACCCAAGGGACTGATTATTACAAACTGGTCAGCATACAGAGGTAGTCAACATAAGGAATTAGGCCTACTGTACTACCATGTTTCCCCAAAATAAGACCTACCCCCAAAATAAGCCCTAGTAGGATTTCTATGCATTTGTTAAATATAAGCCCTACCCCAATAATAAGACCTAGTGACAGGTCTTTTTATCAGATATGCTGCATAGCCACACCATTCATTTTGGCACAGAGAGGAAGACATTCCCTGAAAATAAGCCCTAGTGTGTCTTCTTGAGAAAAAATAAATATAAGACAGTGTCTTATTTGGGGGGAAACACGGTAATATGTACACATGGTGCACATCCAGTCTATGAAAATTTGGTCAATGTGGTTTGGTGCCTGTAGCTCAGGCAGCTAAGGTGCCAGCCACATACACCAGAGCTGACAAGTTAAAATCCAGTCTGAGCCCACCACACAACAATGATAACTATAACCAAAAAATAGCCAGGTGTTGTGGTGGGCGCCTGTAGACCCAGCTACTTGGGAGGCTGAGGCAAGAGAATCGCTTAAGCCCAAGAGTTGGAGGTTGCTGTGACACTACGGCGCTCTACCCAGGGCGACAGCTTGAAGCTCTATCTCAAAAAGAAAATGAGATCAACTTAAGGAGGTGGCCAGTGTAGAGATGTGGTCGACTATGGAGGTTCTCCTGTACTTTGGCACAGATTAAAGCTTTGTGTCATACTCGGTTTTTACCTGGTGACCTGCTGTGAGTTCCAATACTGTGGATCACACAATCTGCTTGAATTCTGATAGAGTAACATCCACGATAGAGAATGCTACTATATTTTATATCATTCACTATGTCTTCTTAAGACTCTGCTGCTGAGTATAACTCAAGATCCAGATAGCAAGAATACTGTGAAGGCAATCTGTATTTTTAAAAAACTGTGGTTACTGAGACAGACGTCTGCTTTAGTGTTTCACCCTGATGCTCCTTGTGCTCTGATACGTTCTTGACTTCAGAGGAAGTTGTGTTGTTTGCTTGGAGACGCGACACTAGTGATGACCAACGAAAGTGGTGCTCTTCACAGCTTTGGGTGTTCACTGGGCTGTGTGGCCCACTGGTCTTGTTTCATCCTTTTGATGGTATGGCTTCTTTTCTTTGGGAAACCTAATCCCTTCCAGGAAGATCCTCCGTGTACCTTGAGATTTCACAGTGAGTCCTCAGCAGAAAACACATGCGATGGATGAGCTTTCGGAATTTGGCTTTTGGTTTCTGCCTTTTTAAAATAGTCTCAGTCTACAAAAGGTTTTTCACTAAATGGTTTTTGCATAAACATGTCTTTTCTAATTGCATGTGATAAATGTTTTATTCTAACCAATTTCTGTACAACTCAAATAAAAATGGATTCCAGTGTCCGTGTGACAAATGGGAAGATGGGGAGAGGTCTTAGAGATCACAGCCTAGAATCTGCCATGGTCGGAGTTAGGATCTCAACCTCTCCTAAAACCTGGGAGAAACTGAGGACCAGAGGGAAAAGGCAGCAATCTAGCCCGCACAGCTGGTCAGCCGCAGAGGCAGGACTAGATGGGGTCTCAACCACATCTGGCTTTCTTCTGAGCAACGGCGTCCTTCAACCCTGGGCCAGAAGCGTAAACACGAACTGGAGCGACCATTTGGCTAAGCTGCCTTCTCTCCTTCACCTTAGCTTTATTTACTTTTGCGCTTTCTCTTCTAGATTTCTCTTCGGCCATAAAAAGCACTTAGTTTAACATTCTTTCATTCCCCAAGCTGCACTCAGAAGTGCCGTGTCATAAACGGTAGATTGGCAGCTTTGTAATTTACCTTGATTAGACAATGGAGTTATATCCCAGCTGTGCGGTTTACTAAATATTTATATATTAGCAAGTCTGCCGCACTGCAAAGCTGTCTTCTTTTGAGGACCCGGGACCTTCCTCCCCCTCTACGGTACTGCAATGCCTTGTCCTCAGTAAGAGGGAGACCACCTGCTGTGTCCATGCAGACTCGGCTGAAGGGACAGCCAGTAAAGGCCACACTCGCTGGTGCCTAGAAACCACCCAGCTCTGTCCTGTGGAAAAGAGAACGTTTAGGGCGAGAGAGAGACCCTGGTTTGTATATTTTCCATGTGAATCTTGTATGTTCCAGCCAAAAGCCTGTGTAGATCTCTCTCCCAAAGAGCCCCATGAAAAGTGTTCACTTGAACGTGAGGCAACCCCAGCTCTGGTCCTGGTGTTGTCTCTGAGAGTGTGGGGGGGAAGACCCTGCCCAGCACTGGGCCTCACCTGCAAAGTTGCTCACTCTGACATCCGCTGTGCTGTGCTTCTCGGGGGTTTTGTTACGTGCCCTGGCTCCAGTTTTCTTCATCCTCCTGAGTATGCCGAGGACTAGGTAGCACGTAGGGAGACACACGTTTATTCTGCATGAGGTGGTGCTAGAGGCCTAAAGGACTAGTTTATAGTCACAGCTTGTCACTACATGCCATCATCTCTTTAGAAGTGAATTTAAAGATAAATAGGAACCTGACAAGAGACGATGTCTAAGTGGCCATTAAGGGTATGCAGAGGTGCTCAACATCCTTACCCACTAAGGATGTAAAAGTTAAAACCTCATTGAGCTACAGCACGCACCCACCAGCATGATAAAATTAACATCTGACAGTGCCAAGTTATAGAGCAACTGCTGTGCTTCTGGAGTGTTTCAGGGCAAAACCGTTTCCTAATCTCTTCCAAAGCTAACCATCCACTTACTCCGTGACCTAGCCATTCCATTCCTATGTTTATATCCAAGAGAAATAACTCCCCATGTCCCCCTAAATGTATATATAAGAACTTGGTAGGTTTAGTCATAATATTCCTACATGGGAAATAACCCAAAGTCCATCAACAGAAGTATGGATTCACAAATATCGTGCTCATACCACGGAATACTACACAGCAAGAAAAAAGAACAAACTGCTACACAAAACAACTTGATTTTTATCTCACGGTGTCATGGTCAGAGGAAGAAACCAGACATGAAAAAATACATATTATGTGGTTCTATTAACATGAGGTTTAAGAACAGGTAAAAGTAGCCTGAGGTAATGAACATCAGAGCAGTGATTGCTTCTGGCAGAGGGGTACTGACTAGGGAAGGGCTCAGGTGGGGGTAGATGCGTGGATGCATCCGTATGTACAATTCCCTGTGCTGCGCATGGAGATTGACTTGTTCCCTGTATTGCATGTAAGTTATTGCCCCCAAAGAGACAATTGAGAAGCAAAGTGAATTCAAATGACCTCCCACCAACCTATATATGGACATCGGGTATGTCCTTCTGTGTTTTTGCTCCCATGAACTTGGTGCTTTAGGTCTAGGAACAGGTGAGTCCGTGGGAGTGAGGGAAGTCAGAGGGAAATAGTCTTTAGCATTGTAGTTGTTATGATGTCTCTGGGGTTGGCCCGGATCCATGAAGGTGGGCTATTTCTTTGAGAAACACAGCAATTCATATTTTATAAAAATTAATCTGGGGTTCCCCCTGTGCTGCATCCAGGTCCAGAGGCTTATTGCCAAGGTGTAGCTTTTAGATGGCCTGTAATAGAAGATCTGATGGCCTTTTGTTCCTAGGAGTGGCTGCTAGGGAGACGGCCCAAGCTCTGAAAACACTGGCCCAGGCTGCCCGTGGAGTGGCTGCTTCTACAAGTGACCCTACGGCTGCCCATGCCATGTTAGATTCTGCTCGGGATGTGATGGAGGGCTCCGCCATGCTCATCCAAGAAGCCAAGCAGGCCCTGATTGCACCTGGAGATGCAGAGAGTCAGCAAAGATTAGCTCAGGTGAGGCTCTGAATTGGAAGCAGTGGCCGTCATGCTCATCGTTTATGTGGACACGTTGGCAGGCTGCCCCCTGGGCACTTGGTGTGGATGCTTTGACTCAGCAGGTGTTTTCAGAACCTTCCAGAGTGTCACAGCAGTGCTGCCCATACCTGATGACTTTTATAAGTCTTGCCTAGTACTCCTCATGTTAATGTCAGATTTGCTCAATTCACAGTCAACAGAAGGTAAGGGGGGCTTCGAACTCTATCCTTGGAAGCTTAGGAGACAGGACATGCCATGTTGATTGGGGCCTGTTTATGATGAACTATATTCTTCTTCTTAGCCTGGGAGGGGGAGGTGGTATACTGGGGCTAGTCCAGTGTTTTTAGCCCTTTTTTAACTCACAACACACCTAAACCTGTACTTCTGTGGCACACTAAAATTATGCTGATCCAAAAAAAGAGTAAAAAAAGAATATACTTACTGTGCTTTGAACTTCCTTTAAAATAATTTAATGATCTTTGAAAATTTTCATGACACACCTAAGATCCTCTCACAGTACCCCAGTTAAAAATCACCGGACTAGCCACTCAAAAGTTTTGCCCTCTGTTACTTCTTCAGATGATTCCTTGCCTGATGAAACCAGCTGGCTAGGTACCCTCCACACAAAGTTCTAGACATGGGGCCAGGAGGAAATGGTTTAGGTTGGAGGGAATGGCACAGGCTACCTCCAAAGACCATTTCTCTTGGCATGAGACATCTTTATTTTAGAACCTGACCTCATCTTGGAAAGTTATGTGTTTGAATCACAGAGCTGTGACTTAGGGGAGCTTTGTGATGTGATGTGCTGTATCACCCTGCTGGACCCTTTGCTAAGGCAGAATGTTAACCCCAAGGAGAGGGAGGATTTTGCTCTTGGGCAAGAGGCCCAACAGTGTCAGGTAGATGCTGGTGGATAATTTCCATCTTTGCTTCTGGTCTATGTACTGTCAGCTGGCCATCTCCCAACACATGTGCAAAAATATTTATAGTAAAAGCTGCTTTCTTGTGGTTCTTCCCTCCCTGCATGTATTCAGGTGGCCAAAGCTGTCTCACACTCCTTGAACAACTGTGTGAATTGCCTCCCTGGACAGAAGGATGTGGACGTGGCCTTGAAGAGCATTGGGGAGTCCAGCAAGAAGCTGCTGGTGGATTCGGTGAGAGGTTCTAGGACTGGGCAGGGGAACCAGGCGAGTAGGCTCACCTTAGGTGTGGATGGAGTTTATTCCCCTCCATGGCCTCTCTGGGCAGCTGACCTTTCCTTTAGTACTCCTATTTTTCCTTGTTACTTGTCTTTCCCTCATTTTGCTTTCTGATCTACAAAGTGTCCAGTTTGAACTTTTAAATTAAGTTACCTTTTTCTTTAAGCCCGTGATGCTGTTTGCTGTGGGGTCATCCCAGGGAATCAGGAGAGGGGATGTATGAGTATCTGGCTTCTGACCAGGCTTGGAGGGGGGCATGTGTCCAGTACTCTCTGAGAGAACAAGGAGTCAGGAGTTGCACCTGGGGCTGGTTCCCTCCCCTGCTTGTCTACAGAAGGAGCTTGTGCCTGCTCATCTATGTTCCTTTTCTGCACAGGTACGCAGGCAGAGTACGTGGGGGACTAACAGTCTAGCTTAACTCTCTGGAACTTTTCGCAAAAGGTCATCTTTCTGCGGAATGCCACTTGTGTTCTATAAAAAAGATACTAGGAACGAACACTCAGAAAACAAAAGTGGCGGCTAATTAATTTGGAAGAACATGATTTGAAGTTTGATAGTATCTACCTTTTAGTTCTAGAAAGCTAAAACTTTGAGAGTTTTCATCTTAGGAGACACAAAATAGCCTGGGAGTTCAGAGAATGGACTCTGGAGTCAGCTGCCTTGAGGTGGAGCCTGTCTCTACCACTTAGGAGACCATGAGCCCTGAAGATAACTGCCCTTACCACTTTTAGATTCACAGTGTTGAGCGTGGAGCAGGTGTTGATAAATTTGAATTGAATGAAATGCATGTATACATGTTGAGGGTCAAACTTAACATAGGCTTAGACCACATGGGGCCTTTTAGTCTTGATGACTCAGAAATGCGTCCCTGGAGGGTCTTTCTTTCCTCTGCAAAACCTTCCTTTTTCTCTCCAGTGCAAAGTAAAACTTCTCATGGGATGTGCCTTCTGTCCTCTGTAGCTACCTCCAAGCACAAAGCCTTTCCAGGAAGCCCAGAGTGAACTGAACCAGGCAGCAGCCGATCTGAACCAGTCTGCCGGGGAGGTTGTCCATGCTACCCGGGGCCAGAGTGGAGAGCTGGCTGCAGCCTCTGGAAAGTTCAGTGATGATTTCGATGAATTCCTCGATGCTGGCATTGAGATGGCTGGCCAAGCTCAGGTGGGTGTGGAGATGGCTCTCTGGAGCTGACCTTAGCCTCTCTCTGATGAACTTTCCACCCTGAGACCAGCTGAACAAATGGAGATGAGGAACCTGGAAACAGGCAGGCCACAGGTGCATTCTTTTTGCTGCATTGGCAGCTCCATGACCTCACAGGAAGGGCATTCGCCAAGATGCTATCAGCTTCCCTGGGAAGTGCTCTTAGTGATGAAGGATGATTCTTCCCACGATCCTCCAGCAGAATCCTTAGTTTTATGTTATCTAGGGGGAGGGCGGGAAAAGGGAGAATGTTAGGGCAGCTCTTTGTAAGATGATACAGTAAATATATGCATATGTATTTGAGGTTTAGTGGGCTCATCTGAACGTACTTTGTCTAATACTGAGTGTCAAGTGATTAAAAATTACCTCCTGTAGATGAACAAATAAACCCCTGTTTACAACAAGGAAGCATGACTGGTCTAGTGTCAGCTTGCAGAGTTGTTTTTCTTTTTTCTGAGCTCCTGTAGAATCCCTAAAAGAGAGATCTGGGGTGTTTGTTGCTCTGTTATCTCCAGAGGAATGTTTCTGAGATGGCACCCAGGTGAGAAACGTGTCCTTTCCCGGGACAGGCACTTCGGAGACGCTGTCAGCTCTGAATCCCGAGTCAGTGCTGGCGGTCTGTGCCAGGCTGAGATGCACAGCTACGTAACAACTCCAGCATTGTTGAGCAAGATGCTGGAATTGCTGCTGGTCTGTGCATTGGCTCTGCTCAGCTCTCTCTCCTCCCACCCCGCTTACTGCCTCCACTTGTGAGAAAGCACTCCCCTTGGCTAACCCACCCGGGGATGGATTTCCTTCCCTGTTGCCTGCATCTTGCTCTGAGCATCTGTCAGGAAGGGTAGACACTGGTTAGTGTCTCAATGAGTTAGGCATCTGCAGACTAATAGGACTTGATGTGATCTTTGTAGATAACTTTCCTCCCTTTCAGGTTGCTGCTCCTAGTTCTCTGATGCTCGCTTTGAGAATCGGACGGTCCTTAATTTACTCTGGCTCCTTTTGGCCTTCCAGACAAAAGAAGACCAGATCCAAGTGATAGGAAACCTCAAGAATATCTCCATGGCATCCAGCAAGCTGCTGTTAGCTGCCAAGTCTCTCTCTGTAGATCCAGGAGCTCCCAATGCGAAAAATCTCCTGGCTGCAGCTGCAAGGTAGGAGTGGGACAAATGTGCTGTCATGTGTGGCTGAACGTGTCATCACGGTCTGAAGGATGGGCCTGTCATCCTGCCACTTTAGCTGAGCAAAGAATTGGTGCTGTCCCTAGGTCACGATGGGTGGAGTCAAGTGGCGGAGACTCTGGTATTTTAAAACCTGGCTCATTTCCATGTTCTTTTCCCACTAAAAATGTCCATCTTCTCATACACCCTTTTCAGTAGACACTTGCTTAGACATCAGGCCCCCATTGATTTGGAAACACAATGACTTTAAGAGATTTTTTTTAAAGTAGTGTTATATATCTTTCAGATTATGAAAGTAGCATATGCTTGTTGAAAAAGTAATCAGAAAGTACTAAAAAGGATAAAGAAGAAACCAGTGCTCAATGAGTCATCCAGCAGACACTGAGCGCTTACTAAGTGTCAGTGTTCGATTGAATTGAACATGTATCTGTCACATAGGGACAGGCTCCAGTTCAGCGTGATGGGGAGGCAGTGGGAATGAATTGGTTTGGGAAATATGTTAAAACTTCAGTCTGAGTTTTGGAGGTTGACTTTAGTGTCTGTCTTTTCCTATTGGTTTCACCCAAGGAAGCAGGTGATACGACCAATTTCTGCTCCAGGGCTGCTGTGGCACTTTGGTTCCTTAACTAGGGATTGAATGCTGGTAGCTGGAGCCCTGCCGCCGGAGCCCAGGCAGATGTTATGTTAGCAATCCCACATTCATTTTCCTGAGCTCAGAGCGTGGGGTATGTCATCGTTCTGTGCTAGTGTGGGTATGTTTTCTTAGCAGTATCTGATGTCATGTTATAATATGGGAAACCTGACAATAGAGGGAATTAAAAGCAGGACTGTTAGGGGATGTAGAGTAGTGTTATACATAGGACATTTTCTTTGTTTTATTTTGAGATAGAGTCTCACTATGTTACCCTCAGTAGAGTGCTATGGCTTCTCAGCTCACAGCAACTTCAAACTCTTGGGCTTAAGCGATTCTCTTGCCTTAGCCTCCCAAGTAGCTGGGACTACAGGCGCCCACCCAAGGCCCGGCAAATTTTTGGTGCAGTTGTTTAGCTGGCCAGGGCTGGGTTTGAACCTGCCACCCTCGGTGTATGTGGCTGGCGCTATAACCACTGTGCTACAGGCACCGAGCCACATATGACATTTTCAAATACTCAACATTAGTGATTTTGAAAAGCATAGCTTCAACTCTTTCTTTAAAAAAAAAAACAAAAAAAAAAGCCTTGGCTTTATTTGTTTGCTTATTTTTTCATGTCCTTACGTCTCTGCTGGAAGCTCGTTGGCTGTTCTAAGTTATCGAAGTCAGGCGATCTGAATTCTAGTCCAAGCTTTAATACTTGACTAACTCAGTCACATTGGTCAGGTTGCTCAACTTGTCTAAACTTTTCCCATCTGCAAAATGGGGATCTGAACTACCTCATCCTTAGGTCTTTTTAGCTCTCCGTCCGTGAGATTGCCTGGTAGTGATGCTCCAAACCTGTCTCTCATCCCTTCTTCACTTGTAATGGGTTTTATGGAAGGTTAGGCACTGTCAGGACAGTTCCCTTGCAAACTCCTGAGTTTCTTCATTTATTCCCAGATAATATATTTTAGCCACAAACAATAGCTAGAGCCACTAGGGGAGTGATAAGTTATCTTCATATCTCCCCACCTCCATCTCATGCTTTGTTGGTGATGATTCCAGTAAACCAGTGGAGGGCAGAGATAGGGGTGATGCCCGTTCTGTTGAGCAGCTGTTTCTGATAATAAAACACCTTCTTGATTGATCCTTTTTTTTCTATAAGAGCTTTTGGATTACCTGCCATTTCCAGGTATCTGAACTCAGATGTTTTTCCTTATCTTCAATTTTTTGCATCATTTTAAAATTACAGTTTCCAATTTGGAACGTGTTGCTCCATTCTCCTAAATTGTGGGAAGAGGAGAATGTCTAAATTAACGTTTAGAAAACCAGATATGGAAGGAAGCAGGCCCAGAAGGAATGTCGCTGGCGTATGTCTCCGCGGGTCCCTGCAGGCCCCCTGGTGGTGGTATTGAGGCGGTAGGTATGGAAGCTTTCTTTGCCGCTCTGTCCTGGCTTCTAGCAGTTTACAAAGAGTTCCCAGTCCCGTGGTTTTACAGCCAAATAAGCGCTTAAAAATCATCACATGAAAATGATTGTCTCAGAATGGAACTGTTGCGAGAAGATGTTGGCACATTCCCCTTGGTTTCTTGGCACATTTTGGCAAGCTGCTGCTTCCCAGGGTTGTTTCTCAGCAGAAACTCCAGCCAGGTCTCCTGCCAGGTCAAGTGGGTCAGGTGAGTTCCCCTTGGGACACAAAGCTTTGCCCCGCTGAGGTTCATTCATTCTTTTCTTTTTTCATGTGTTCATTACACAGATTTTTATCACAGGCCTGAATGGGCGAGGGTGGTGCTGGGTGCACACTGTGAAAAAGACAAGGAGGCGGCCGTGGGGGAGTTAGGCAGGGACACACACAGCATGCTCCCCTCACTTCCTCTGGGCAGGGGAGGTTGAGCAGCAGGGATCCAAGCATTGTTGTCCTCTGTCTTCAGTTCCACTGCCCTCCCTGTCCCTAAGACGGCCAGGCCCTGCATGTCCTTCACGTGTGTGTCCCCAGAAGCCCCTCTGTGGGGACCAAGGCTTGGATTGACTTGTCTGTCCTCGTGTGTCCTTTGTGGGCTCTCTGGCCCTTCCTGCTTTCAGAGAAGAGGTTTGTTTCTGGTGAAAAAGTGGAGGATGTCTTTTTCATCTGCTCTGGATTCTTCCTCTGGGCCCTGGTGTATTCGGAGACTCCAGCCCATTGATTTCACATGTCTAAGGGGGAGGAAGTTGTTTTTTATGTAGTGTCCAGCTTGTTCATCTTCTTCCCACGTAACTGATGGGGCTCTGGCTCTTTTCTGACAAATTGGATGGAGCTAGAGACGCTTTGTCAAACAGCTTTTTCTCCCATCAGGAACTGGCCTGATGGCTCTGTGAGCTTAGTTATGGAAATGGAAAACCAGCTTGTACTTGCAAAAAAGAGGGAGTGTCCTACCTCTGCTGTTCACACCAGTGACCTTGACCAGGAGCACATCAGGGCTGAGAAGACTTCATGTCCACAGCCACTAGCATCAGACCCAGGAGGCGACCTCTCAGTGGCCTCCCTAGGAACCTATGGGTAGCTCCTGGCTCTCCTTTAGTTTGAGGTTTCTGTTGGGAGGAAGCCTTGCAGACAGGACGAGTAATACTTCCACTCTGTAAAACAGAAAATGCAAATAATACCCCTGTTCTCTCCCTTGGTCTTACCTACAATGTTCTCTTCCCTTTTTCCCTATCAGGATCTCACTCAGCCCTGACTTGTCTAATTGCTTCAGTCCACATTGAGCCCTCCCTTTCATGCAGAATGTGTGTCCCAGGGTTAAGGTTTGAATTTTTTTCTACACCTGCAATTCTCCATGTTGTCTGGCTGCTTCTTTAGCAATCCACAATGTCCTGTGTGGTGTCATGCCCTGGTCACTGCTTTCTTTGGCCTAAATTCTCATCATCTTCTCTCCAACTAGGTCCCTTGCCATCCTGGAGAGATTTAAGATATATTATTATGATTATTATTTTGAGACAGAGTCTCACTTTGTCACCCTCGGTAGAGTGCCGTGGCATCGCAACTCACAGCAAACTCAAACTCTTGGGTTCCAGTAATCCTCTTGCCTCAGCCTCTTGAGTAGCTGGGATTACTGGTGCCCACCACAATCCCAGTCTAGTTTAAGAGATAGGGTCTGACTTTGCTCAGGCAGGTCTTGAATTACTAAGCTCAGGCAATCTACCCACCTCAGCCTCCCAGAGTGCTGGGATTGCATGTCACCGTGAGCCATCATATCCAACAATACTATATTACTATTTAATTCCCCATGCCTTGTGCATAATATGACCCAGGGAAAGCTTAAGGATGAATTTTGATTTGCTCTTTCCTCCCTTCTCAAATCTCTTCCCTCAAGGAGGGGAGATGTCTTATGCTGTTTTCCCCCCTCCCAGCTCCTTGTTGGGTGAGTTGTGCTAAACAGATAATTAGAAGCACAACTTGGATGATATTTTTCTCCCACCCTGTCCCAATTCCATGTCTATTTAAAATTTGCAGGCGGAGCTCAAATTTCAGTTGAATCAATTCCGTATATGTGAACACTAAGTGCTTTTTACTTTAGAAAGTTCTCTTTCATCTCTGAATTTGTAGATCCCAACTTTTTTAAGAACTGAGAGTAGCTAAATAATGCCTTGTTAAAAAATAAAATACCAAAGATAGTTATTTCTAGAAGAGGAAATCATGATTATTTAGCTTTTTAATATTTTTAAAGATAAACATAATGTCACTTTGACCATTAAAAAAGATTATGGAAAAAATAAAAGTAACTGTGGGTCAGGCCTATTTGGATTTACATAGAACTGGGACAGAGACTCCGCTACTTTTGGCCATATTTTTCTTGGGTAAACTATTTAATTTCTAATTTGGGGGATGAGATTTATTGAGTTTTTTCTTTAGCAATAACATTATAAAGTCACCATTAACATTTTATATACATCATTGTGTTATTTTTCTACACATACCTAAGCAGTATGGTAGACCCATACTGTTCATACCATTTCATAAATTTTGTTTTACTTATTCACGTAGCATGAATATTCTCCTATGACATTAGTAAGATGTTACCCACTATGACTCTGAATGGGTTCCAGAATGCTGGCGTGGGCTGTATATTTATTTAACCAATCCTTTTTGGTTGCACGTTTGGGTTGCCTCCAATTCTTTGTTCTTATGAATAACTGCTATCGTTTGAAACATAGAAATGTTTTTTATTGTCAAGTTCACATAGCCATTTTCTTCTCAACCATTACTTATTTGGCTGTGTAATCTAGACTGGAAAAAATGAGTTCATGGAACCTAAAGAATGTTCTTAGCCATGGATGGAGATTACACAAGCAACTCATTTAGACAGGGGATGCTGCGCTGGCTCTTCGTGGATTTTCTAACCACAGACTATTGGTTGGTTATTATTGATTTTAGCCCAAGTTTTTACTTGAAAAAATTTCACATCTACAAAACAGAAGAGTGGGGAAGCTGGCAGCCTTCTCACAGCTGAATGTCCTCCAGATTCATCAGCTATAAACACTTCATTTTTAATGGAAAAACTCTTCATATAGGAACCAGGCTTTTAAGGTATACAGATAAACAGGAAAGATGGAGAATTAAGCTAAATAGAAAGCTTCTGTGATAGGTTGAGTAGTCTCCAAAGGATCGTGTGGTCACAGCATTCTTCTCCCATTAGTCTGTTGGTAAATACCAGCCTGTCCACTCATAGTGTGTCTGGAAGGTCACCACACAGAACGCCATGCTAGGTTCTCTGAAGGACACTTCAAGTGCGTACGTCATGGACATCACCCTCCACGGTCCTTGGAACTAGCGTTGGGCTGCTGTTTCTGTTGTTTTGTTTTACACCAGGGAGAGCTGAGTGTTTCACAAGACACCTTAATTAAGCACTATTCTCCAAATAAATGAAATCACCAGAATCAGTCTCTCAAAAACTATTCTGCAATTCTTTCTTGAGCTGGGAATGTTTTTCTTTTTCCCCTCAACCCTAGCTAAATCTAAAATTGAAAGCACTGGGTCCTCATCAGATAATTAAGCTGATTGCTTTTGTACACTGGCAGCATCGTTTTCCATCTAATTTGATATGCCGCAGGAACCTGCAAAGCCAATTTCGCTAATAAAATGAGGCATCTTTCATATTAGACAGTGTTAGTGATTAACAGCAATATGTGCTCTATTTTGTTTTTGTTTGTTTTGTTTGAAGTTGCCTTTAAGCTGCAGTGATTAGAAACTGGGAATGGAATTCTGGGCCCTGCCAGAAGTGCAGACCAGTTCTAACCCTGCAGAGAAGAGTTACAGGTCTGGCTTTGGAGACAGCTGGGCCTGGGTTTCAGTCTTGTTTCTGCTCTTTCTTTGTAGCATCCTCTTTGGGAGTCTATCTCATGTCTCCGATTTTTCATTTATAAAATGCACAGGCATTCAATTGTAAGACTCAGTAGAAAGCTACAGTAATTAATATTGTAGTCTTGGCAAGAAGTTAGACACACAGATAATGGAACAGAATGGAGTCCAGAAGTAGACCCACATAAATATGGCCAATTGCAAAAAATAATTGAATGGAGAAAGGACAGTCTTCTTCAACACATGTGGCTGGAACAATTGGACTTACATATGAAAAAAATTGTTTAAACTCATGACTCATATTCTAGACCTTATTTAAAAAACTAACTCAAAATGGAGCATGACACTCTAAATTGTCTGTATCATAACCTAAGACAAGCTAATCAGGGGCTACTCAGAAGGGGCAGAATCCTTGCCAATGTAGAAAAATATCTGGGCTGTTCTTTCTGTTCTAAGCTGAACAGAAACACAAGTGAAATCATGTGACAGTCTCTAATTTATTCCCATTAATGTTAAAGAAAATGTCTACTAAAAAGAAAAAAAGAAGAAAATGTCTATTTTAAAGAATAATTTTAGAATAACTTCTAGGAACTAGTCAATCATATAGAATTTAATGGAAAGTAAAGATTTTAAAATCATAAGCACAGTTTCTATCTACTGAGTTAAAAAGTTTAAAAAAATCTTTCAAGTTGCTCAGATAATTTTACTCCTTGTGGGCTCCTAATTGAGGATCTCAAACTGATTAACAGTCTTTTTGGTAGTTGTACCTTCATTGCGAATTCTCTCTGACAAATATATTAAAACCTTTTAAGGAGAACTATGGTTGATCCTTGAACAGTGGAGGTATTAGAGGCGCTGACCCCCTGCACAATTGAAAATGCACATATAACTTTCAGCTTCCCTAAAACTTAAATAGTCCTTGCCTGCTGTTGGCCCAGAGCCTTAGTGATAAGTCAATTAACACATAGTTTGTGTGTTATATTATTATATACTGAGCTAGAGAAAAGAGAATGTTGCTAAGAATATTGAAAGGAAGAGAAATATGTATTTACTATTCGCTAAGTGAAAGTGGATCATTATAAAGGTCTTCAGGAGGAGGAGGAAGAAGCAGCATTGGTCTTATTATCTCAGATGCGGTGGAGGTAGAAGGGGAGGGAAGAGGGCCAAACATATTCAGTGTAACTTTTACTGAAAAGAAAAATATCCACACCTAAGTGGACCCGTGCAGTTCAAACCCAGGTTGTTCACAGGACCCCTTAAAAGTAAATCAATCAGTTATCAGAAATAAGGGAAAGAGATTCTCATTTTATCTTCCCTGGGTACGATTTCTTTTTGGCTGTGTAGAGCCTCTTTGGAAGAGCATTCATGGGCCCCCAGCCTAAATAGTGAATGGATTGTATTTCTGGTGAACTTGCAAAATGTTGTTAGGGAAATAATGTTGATCTTTTTAAAAAAAGAAAAAAATCTTTTTCTGTTGCAGAGCTGTGACAGAGAGCATCAATCAACTCATCACTCTATGCACCCAACAGGCTCCTGGCCAGAAAGAGTGTGACAATGCCCTCCGGGAGCTTGAGGTAGGCCCCAGGGGAAGCTACTGAAGGTTGAAGATGGATTGTGTGTGCTTGTCTTTCTGTCCCTTCTCTAGAAGGTTTGTTTCTTCTCCTTTAAAACTAAAGGTGCATTGCGGCCAACCAGCCTATATCGACTTGAGATTTTGCCATTTCAGTATAACTTGTGTTGGTTAGTAATTTACATACAAGTAGGCATGCTGGTTTTATGTGCCTTTAAATGTTCTTTTATCTTTCCTGGGAGACTATTGAGGCCAGAGTTTCTATCCAGATTTGGTGGGATTATCATCCTTGCTTCCCCTCTTCCCACTAGGATGAGATGGATTTTGTTAAAGGATTCTTTATTTCAAACACAAAGAGGTTGGTTGGTAGTAAATGTGGCCTGAAGACCAATTTCCAGCTTAAAAAAAAAATTGGAGAAATCATTCTGGGACAGTTAGGAGACAGCCACAGGCAGGGGTAGGGATGCTGTTAAGTAAAAATGATTTCCCCCTAAATTTATTCTGTAACATGCAGGGGGCACATGATAGGAAATCCAGGACTAACACTTATTACTCACGGTCAAGGTCAGTGTGGGTGCTTTTCAATCTATATTCATACTCGTGTTATTGGTAAGTGAAAATTTATGTATTCCCCATAGAATGGGTGTGGGTAAACATAAAATCAGTATGTGTCCTTATAGTCCTAAACAATGCAGGTTATGTTGAAATGGCCAACTCTCACAAGCTGGTTGTACCTAATGTACCTTTAGTTTTCTGGATGACAAGCCTAGGTCTAGCATGGTGGGAATACCCGCTACAGCTGCCAAAGATTTGATTGAGGCCTTGGTGATGGCTCTACCGGGGGTATCTTACCTGCAGCCTGTGGGCTGAGTGCAGATTATTCAAGGACCATTTTGCTTATGTGTGGTGTCAGATATTGTGAAATGTAATGCATGAACTTTTTTTGCTTATCAGCTTTCGTTAGCATTTGTGTGTTTAATGTATGGCCCAAGACAACTCTTCTTCCGATGTGCAGCAAAAAAGAAAAATGGGTGAATGCCCTTGCCAGCTGGAGGTGGTCCTGTGGTTTGTTATCACAGGGCCAACGCATTCTGAAAACAGTTGAGAATGTTTGTTCCATTGACTGAATGACTGCCATATTCTGTTCATATTTGCAAATATGAATATGTGGTCTTTTGCTCTAAACAAGCTTTACTGGCCTAGGTGCCAGTACTCTGCATCCTTGGTTGCCAAAATTATGACTGTTCCAGGATTGCTGTTACTATAATAAAGCCATTCTGATCCAAGGAGTAGGAGGCGGTTCTTCAATGAAATGAGCTCACCCCTTCCTCTGCCCTCTCTCTCTCTCTTAACTTTAAGTGAACAACTCAGCAGTTCCCAATACTTAACTGTTCCCCAAACTCTAGTGATTTTGTCTTTTTTTAAATTAATTATTATTAAATCATAACTTTGTATATTGATGCATTTATGGGGTTCAGGGTATTGCTTCAATATACAGTGTGAAATGTTTACATTGAACTAAGTAACATATACATCACAATTATACTCATTTCTTAAGATTTTGTCTTTTTTGTTGGCTGTGCCCCCAAAGACTGCTGGGCCCTGAGGCTCACTGGGGAGGAGGATGAATGGGCACATCCCCAGGCTTTCTGCCCCTAGAACAGTGGTGAACACAGATGGTCAAAGCCCATTACAACGTGAAAGATAGTTGTAATGGCCTTTGAATTTTGGTAGCTTGGAGACAAAGAAAAATAAACAGCCCATATCCACTTGCTTCCTTGCTGAGAATCTAAACAAGAGTGTTCTATACCTCTTAAATTAAAAAAAAAAAAAAAAGGCCAGCACCTGTAGCTCAATGGAGTTGGGCACCAGCCCCATATGCTGGAGGTGGAGGTGGCGGGTTCAAACCCAGCCCCAGCCAAAAATTGCAAAAAAAAAGATGAACTGCCCCAGTGGACAGTTTTGGGGAATTGCCTTTCAGACCTTTCTATTAAAAGTTTCCAGAATTAGAAAAACTAAGGGCTCTTAAGAGCCATGAAAAAAATGAATGAACAAGTTCTTGAAATTTAAACTCCTTAGAATTATCCAGAATCAGCAGAGAAATTGTGCTAAATGACTATGAATGTGTTGCCTTGCAGTAATATTCCAATTTCTTTATTTTTTATTTTTTATTTTTTTCGAGTCAGAGTCTCAAGCTGTCGTCCTGGGTAGAGGGCTGTGGCATTACCATAGCTCACAGCAACTTCCACTTCCTGGGCTCAAGTGATCCTCTTGCCTCAGTTTTTCTATTATTAGAGACCTGAGCCACCACACCCAGCCCAAATTTGTTTAAAAGAAAACAAAAAACTCGTGTGGGTATCACGCTTCTCCTTCTTTCCAGTGGAAAACACGAGATTCTCACCTCTGGCAAAGCTAACCTGAGACACGCACCCTTCCCCATCAGTGGTGTGTCTGTGGTCAGGATACTGTGCTCTAAATTCTTGTCAAGAATCTGAGTAATGAGTGATTGTGACCAGAATCTTGTGTGTAGAGGGGAAGCTGATAGTATTTTGTGTCGAATTTCTCTTGTTCTATGGCGCTTGCTTTTTAAGTTGTGTTCTCCTTCTGTAGACGGTCAAGGGGATGCTGGACAACCCTAATGAACCTGTCAGCGACCTCTCTTACTTTGACTGCATTGAGAGTGTGATGGAAAACTCCAAGGTAAGCCATCGTGTGGTACCTCCGAGTGGGCAGTGCTCCGAGTGGGCAGTGCTCCGTGTGGGGAGGAGTGTGCACGTGCCTTGTGAACACCCGCCTGGCTAAGCCCTTTGCTCAGCAGCCTCTCAAACTTGAGGGTTGTTAAGAATCACCTGGAGGTTTATTAAACACAGATTGCTGGGGCCCTCCCCAGGCTTCTGAGTCTGCAGATGAAATGAGGCTGATACTCCGCAGGCTCCAGGGCTGGTCCCTATGGCCTGGGAAAGGTACTTTGAGAACCACTGCTTATATCGTATCACAGATGGGTCTTAACATGAATCGGTTCATGTGTTTTCTACACCTGGGGCTGAACTGCTATAGGAAATCCTTCAGAGGCCCTGAATTATATAGGGTCCTCTGCTGTGTTCCTTCTGCCATCCTTACCATGTCTTCTCAAGGGCAATGGAAATAGTTTCTTTGGGGAGTGGAGGGGGGGTGAAGTGAAAAAATCTAAGATAATGTAATAGTTTATTATGCCTTACCTCCCCCATCTTAACCACACTCAACAAAATCTTATTCCTTAGTTTTTAATTCAATGGGGGTGACAATGAAGGAAAAAAAGTCTTCTTAAGAGAACAATAATGGGGACAAAAAGCTGTTGAAACTCTGATCTGTGGTGATTGTACCAGTGTCTCATGAGAATGCCTCAAAATCAGAAGGGGAAGCAGAGATGCAAGGGCAGTGACCAGGTACCGGGCTGTTGCAGTCCGGCTCTGTACAGATTGGCTTTGGGGAGACATTGTATTGGTGATGTCAGAAGGTCTCAGTGTGTGTTGGGCTAAGACTAGAATATCCTCTGTCCAGCATCATTTATGGAATTACAGATTATCTAAAGGGAAGGTGTGTATGTTTTACATGCTTGGATTAAAGAGGAATGTGGGATCAGGAAGGAGAGGAAAATATTCTGCATAAAAATTCCTATAGCTTCTTTGCAAGTCCTTCTATAAACTGGATTATTTTGTACATCTAAGAAATTTCTAGACTTATTTCATTTCCCCCTCCGTGATAGCTTATTGGCCAATGCAGAGCTTTGTGTTGGTTCTAGTCATGGCAACGCCATAGTCTCTCCACAAAGGGTTGAACACCCTTCAGTGCCATCACCTGTGACCCTGGAGGACGTGAGCAGTACTGCTGGTACCTGATGTACACATGAAACAGAACACCAGATTTGCAGGGGGTACCCTACCTGTGCCCATGTGACCTTCTATGTGACCTTGACCTCTTCAGGTTGAATTCGAAACACTGAAGTCCTTTTCAGCAGTGATTATAAAGATCTCTGAAGAAAGACATACTAGTGATTTTCAAAACAAGGCAGAGTGCTTGTTTAAGAAACATACTTAACAAAGATATGTTTAAATTTATCGCCAATAAGTAAACAAATGATACCTGGAAGGGTGTGTCTTTTGCTTTCTGTGTGTGACCTCACTTACAGTTCAGTGGATGTGACCTTATATTATGAGAACTTTATCCTGCCCCCATGGGATGCCTTATAGATACTCTACTGTCTGTGTGTGTTAACTATATCGCCTTGGGTGCAGAAAACTTTGGGGTGAAAGGCTTATACTTTCATTATTTATTTCTCTTTATGAACATAAATAGTACAATTTTCTTAAGCCTTGGAGAAAATGACAAATATTATAAATAAGGGGTCCTGAATGTTAAAGTCAGAAGTATAGCCTCCTTTACCCCCTCGTTTTGAAGCAATGCTGGATAGAAAATATCACTGGCCATTTGTTTGATAGGTTCTGGGTGAGTCGATGGCAGGGATTTCACAGAACGCCAAGACCGGGGACCTCCCTGCCTTTGGAGAATGTGTGGGAGTTGCGTCCAAGGCCCTCTGTGGACTGACGGAGGCCGCAGCTCAGGTAAGAGGCTTGTGCTCTGTGCTGGATCCCTGGGGGAGGCACAAGGGGGCCCAAAATTCACCTCTTTCTCTGAGCACCACTATAGAAACTATTGACAAGGCAGCGGCTCTTGTGCTGATGTGGGCATTTAGACCCAGTAAGGGGGCAGTTACCCCCCAGGAGAGAGCATTGGTGGGCCAGGGTAAGGAGGGCAGTGAGACTCACTGCAAACTACAGACCCAGCAGGCAGGCTCAGAGGCCAACCTTTTTTTGTGTGTGTGGTGGTTATTATTTTTGAGGTCCTTATTATAAGTGAGTTGTTTCATGTAGAAAAAATAAGCATGAAATCATTTAAATTTTCTGAGGCTTTAGAATTGCAAAAAGGTTAGTCATGCTCATTTTAGGATCAGAGAAAGAGAACATTGGACACGACCATGCAGAAACGTGACACGGCACGTTCCTTGCCCTGCTTTGACTATGCTGTGCATTTCTAAGGCACACGTCAGCATTTACCTTGAAGGATTTGTCATTTGATGATGATGTGGAACTTTGAAGGTTTTACTGAACCAAAGAGGAACATTCCTAGTCTGGGGGATGAAATTCTCTTTCTTATCCTTCCCTCACCTCTCAGGGGAAATGAATGAAGGTCAGAATTCCTGCTCACCTGTTTATTTTCTCCCAGTTATTTGACTGCCATATCCAAAGGAAGCAAAGGGAAGACCTTCCCGTTACAGCCTCTTGTCCTCGTGGGGACCAAATGCTTTCTATTCTTTTGTTTTCTGAGCCAGCTTACTGAATTACCAAGTTAAGATTTTTTCTGCTGTTGCAAGTATGGCCCGAAATAATAAGGACCCAGTAAGCTCTGAGTTGAGAAACCCTTAGGTAGGGCAGGCTCCAGAGCCAGCTGACTCAGCAGGTCCACACCATCAGTTCGCACCCACTGTTATCTGTCCCTTGTGTCTGCCAGCTAAATAGCCTCGTGCTGGGGCTGGGCAGCCTCATGGTCATAAGATGGCTGCCAGAGCAATCAGGGCTGTGCCGTCCTTGTCTAAGCCCCAGGAAAGTGCTTCTTGAGGCTCTGTTAAGAACAAGGAGACTTTGTTCCCTGGAGCCTGCAGCAAACCCTGCTGGCACGTCAAGCTGGCACAAGCCTGTCTCCCAATAATTGGGGAAAGGGATGAGATTACCCCATTGAGATTACACTAAGGAGTGTCTGAACATAACTGCTGTGTGTGAGGTGGTGACTGTCATCCGCCACAGACGGACTGAGCTGTGGCTTTTCTCCTCCTCTCCAGGCTGCATACCTGGTCGGCATCTCTGATCCAAACAGCCAGGCAGGCCACCAGGGCCTAGTGGACCCCATTCAGTTTGCCAGGGCTAACCAGGCGATCCAGATGGCATGCCAGAACCTGGTGGACCCTGGCAGCAGCCCGTCACAGGTAAGCACAGGGGAGGAGGTGAGGTTTGGGAGTCCTGCAGTGCCTGCAGGTGAGTTGCGGAAGAGTGTGAGAAATTAGGAGAGAATCTTCTGCCAGAGCTAACAAAGCCAGCAAAATGCAGCACTGCAGCTTATCACTGGGTGGGGTATTGCAAAATAGGGTGAAAATGGACACTTCTAGGTGCTTTGAGATGGGGTGCTGAAGGGTGTGTGAGACCACATCTGTCACCTCTCTGGCTCTTAGACTATTGGGCAAAGTTTGGAAAATGCATCATCAGGGTCTGATGACAAGGCCGGGAATATACAAAAGGAGGCACTATGAATTCTCTGGAGGGGGCTGTCAGGGATCACTTCATAGAGATGACAGCAACTGTGCCAGGCCTCAGCGTTGAACTGGAATCTCCAGCACTGAAAGGAACCAGAGAGATGTTTGAAGAATGGACAGTACATGTGACGTTCTGTGACACTTTGCATACCCGAGTGGCACTGGTCACTTACTACAGCAGTGGGTACTAAAAGGAGGAGAAGTGGCTGACATGGGGTGGCAGGGGCAGACTTGTGAGTGACACAGTCACTGTGAACTAAAACAGGGTCCTCAAACAGGCCTGAGAGCTGATGTGTGTCAGCGAACCTGAGATTCCTTACCCCGTCCGGTAAGGCCAAAAGGGTGTTAACAAAATCCGCAAATCAGAGCAGTGGATTGGTGGAGGGGAGGTGGATTAATTAAAGGGGTTGATGGACCTGGAGATTTCTGAGCCACACCCTTCAGGAAGGTGCCAACAGCCCCCTTACAGATGAGGAGGGAGCTGTCATGCTCTGGTGTTCATTTTACTCACCTAGACCTGGTCTCTCCACTTTGGCAGCCGCCATATGCACGTAGCTATTAAGCATCTGAAATGTAGCTAGTCCAAATTGTGATGGACTATAAATATAAAAACCACACTGCATTTCAAAGATGTGGTTTGAAAAAGGATTGTATTAATAGTTGTTTTTAAATGGATTATATGATGAAATATTTTGGATATACTGAGTCGAACAAAATATGTAATTTCTCTTTTTATCTACTTATTTTGAGGTGACTATAAGAAAACTTGCAAGTCTGACCTCCTATCTTGGGGTTGCCAGGTGTAGCTGACTGCATCCCCTGGAGGACTATTGGGGGTCCAGCTCATTCCCACCATTACATCAGCACCTCCTTTCCCGTTCTTTAATTCTCTCTTGCTCAGTATTTCTTGCTCTCTCCTTTCTTGGAGTGACTTTGGGGGTGGCATTATAGAGGCTGTGGCCATGTGAACTGAAGAGGAATCCAGGGCTGGGGACCAGGGCGGAACCCCTGTGCACTGACGTGCAGGATGCCCCCAACTTACCTCCATGCTCTGTAGGTCCTGTCTGCTGCCACCATTGTCGCCAAGCACACCTCGGCCTTGTGCAATGCCTGCCGCATTGCCTCATCCAAGACAGCCAACCCCGTGGCTAAGAGGCACTTTGTCCAGTCTGCCAAGGAAGTCGCCAACAGCACTGCCAACCTGGTGAAGACCATCAAGGTAGGTCGCTAAACTGCAGGCCTTTTTAGTCCCTGTAACTCCTGTTGCTTGGGGAAAACAGGGACAGCATTTAAGCTCTGCTGTCCCAGGGCTTCTGTCTAGTGAAGTTTAACTTCTATGTTTACTGTCATGATTTAGCTCATGGAAGGAGAGTCCCTTAATAATAGAAACATTCATTATGAAAAACCCAGCAGCCTTAGTCTGTACTAGCTTTCTAAGTGGTGTGGAGAGGGTCTCCCCAGATTCTGTACTTGAGGAGCTTAGGGACAGAAATCTGGTTGGAAGAGGCTGGTTATGGGGCCTCTCTTGGCACTGTGCTTGAGCAGCAACCAAACTGTTTTTGCTTAAATTGTCTGTTTCCTTGGGGTGGTTTTGAGTGGGCTGGTAGAGAGGGCTCTGCCGTTGTTGCTGGATGTTTCTGGAGTAAGCAAGTAGATAGAGGGAAGAGGGAATGGGAAATTGTAGAAAAATTGCTTTAAAGAAGTCGCTTTATTGTCTCCTGTGATATTCTGTTTATAGCTTTTAAAAACTGTAAATAGAATGGAGAGTCAACTTTTAAAAACAGAGCATTCCATATGTATTAGAAGTTCATCTTTGTGTTAAAATCCATGGGCACGGCTGGGGGCAAGTTTCGCTCTCAAGGAGGGAAATGAAGTGGCTGAGCTGTTGCACTTGTAGGTGAGTGCTGAGGCCGCAAACAGTCTGCCCTCAGTGGGGACCCAGCAGGCAGCAGGCAGCTGACCTTGTGGGAAAACAGCCCTAGACTGGACAGCAGACCACAGGCATAACCTCCCCCCCATCATCTCCCCCAAACTCCAGCCTTCAAAGGAGCGTTGACATGGAGGCAAGGTACCAGTTCTGGGCAAACGTGAAGGGAAGAACACCGGCAGCGCTAAGACTTTTGATTTAAGGGTTTTCAGATTCGTTCTGAAGGTAGCGGGATTTGCTTTGTTGCTGGGACAAGTCCTAAAGCAACAGGACATTTTCCAGTTCTCTCCAGAGGATAGGACACGAGGCACGTCATTGTCCTTTTCACAGCAGCCCACGGGGTGAGCCAAGCAGAGGCAGAAGGCAAAAACATGAGCCCAGGAGCAGTTGGAAGCTGGCTGGGGAGAGCACGGGGCACTTAACCCCGGTCAGCAATTTCTTAACTGTTTAAACAAAGAATCTTTTTAAAAATGAACAAACAGAAAAGAACCCCACCTATTTTTGAAGGCAGTAAAAAGCTAGGTTGAAAATGAATTCAGTAAATTACAGCCAGTTCCCATATGCCCCGTGATCCTAGTGGCAGCTCCCCTCAGTTGCCATCAGAGTCCATGGCATTAGCAATAAACAAAGCCTGCTTTTTTAAAATGTTTATTTTTATGTTTTGTATACATGCCTCACTGAGGCTATGCTTACCCCCATTTCCCACATGGGAAACTGAGACACAAAGAAGTGAAGTCACTTTCCCAAGGTGACTCACTCAGTACATGGTGGGTCAGAATTCAAACCCAGGCCCCAGGGCCCCTGCTCCCAGCCCTGCATGCTGTTCAGCTCTTTGGGATGGAGAGTCTTATTCATCTCTGAGGCCTAGGAAGAAAGACCTTGCTGTTTGCAGGCCTTGGGTATAAGTGTGGGGGAGGCGGGGATGGAGAAAGCAATGTAGTTGACAGCAGTGACATCATGCTTGGTTGCTGCGCAATTAGCAATTAACATATCTCTGTTAAGGACAATCTTTTCTGAGCATTAGAAAACAGATTACATTTAGATGTCCCAAAAGAAGAAAAGGAAAGAACTCTTTCTTTATTCCATAGAAGTTCCTGGAGCCCTTTCTTCTTCTGCCTCCTTCTTGGTTTTAAATCCTGACCTATCTCTATATAAAGCTTCTCTGTTAAGATCTTGTGTTCTTTTCAGATTCTTCTCAGTGTCATACCGCCTTTGCTGGTCTCTGCAGCAAACATGAGGTCTTGTGATGGCCTAAAAGATAGGTAGAAACATCAGAGGAGGAATGTAGAGGTGTTGTGATGTGGAGGAGATACAGGCCTCTGTCTCCAGGGAGCGCCCTGGGAACCAGTAGCCGTGCAGAGGAAGAGAAGTGGGCATAGGATCCCTCAACATTTTGTTTTGCAACTCCCACTGCATGGTAGAGTGTGCTGGGGAGAGAAGAGCTTCGTTTTTGTTTGTTTGTTTTAATTTACTAACAGGAAGATGGTAAAGGTCATTTCACTGCAGCACATGGTACTAGATGCTGAATAGATTTCCTGTTTGGAGGGATGGTTGAGTATTCTGTCAAACAAAAAGAAGTGAATATTTAATTCCCTAAGTGTTTAAGACAGCTGCCCTCCTAGTGGCCTTTTCCTCTTTTATGCCTCTTGGTGCTGTTTCTTAACTGTGTTAGGCCAACCCTAACCCAACTGCTACACCCTTTTAGTTGTGAAGCAGGGAGGGGTGCAGATTACCTCCTGGTGGCTTATCAACACCCATGTAGAATGTGTGCACCCCGGATCTCAGAGCCCTACGGATGGCATTCTTTAGAATCCCAAAGCCCAGCTCCCCAGAACCCAGCTCTGCATCCATACTGCCTGCCAGGCATTGCTGTGAGTGCCAGGCTGGGTAGGGGGACACCCACCCCAACCATGGCTGCCTATACTGTCACCAGCTTTTCTGTCCTCAGGCAGTGCATTACCTAGTCTTGAATCAGATGTGTGGAATGGAATGTTATTTTAAATGTGTAGTCACTCAGGTTTGGGTGCCAAGTAGAAATTATGCAACACCAGCGTTTGTTTTTCTGAGAAGTTGAAGTTTGGCCTTGCCCCTCGCAGCGAAGTTAAAACCCAGGGTTTTGCCTTTGAGCACTTCCAGTGTGTGCCACAGACACCCGATCCAGCTGTCTTTAATCGAATTTGACTTGGCTGTAAGTATGTTTTCTCGGTCAGCCTTATGTTTGGGTTGGTAAAGTTGGTTTCTTCAGAAGGAAAAGGAGAAAAAAAAAAAAAACCTCTGGCTTTTTGCTCCTTGTTCTTACTGCCTTTTGTCTAAGGCCAGTAGGGGAGAAGGGAGCCAGGAGTCTTGGGTTCTGGTGTGAGGCACGCCAGTAAGTAGCCGGCGACTTGGGCTCCCGTCACTTTCCGGGTGCTTGTTTTATCATCTGGAAAATGGGAGGTTTAGGACTGAATTATCTTTCGGGTGCCTTCTAACCCCCAGAGTCCATATTAATCTTTAATTTTGTGCATACAGAGAAGTTGTTTCTCCCAGATCTCTGTTAGATTTTGCTAAGGGAGAACCCTCAGGACAGGGGCTGGGAGTGCCCAGTCTTGAGGGGCCTAGACTTGCAGGTAAATAAATTTACCCTTCCGCCATCATGGCTGGTGTCCTGGACGTTATGTGGCATGGAAACTCTCATGCCCGCCTGAAATGCCAACCTTGGGCAGCTTTGAGTATTTGGCAGACCTGAGTGGCTCAGCCTTACCCGGTGGAAGCAGAATTCAGAATTAAATTAGTATCCACACAAACCAGGCTTTCTGATGTCAAATGCCTTTTTTTTTTTTTTTTTGAGGAAATAACTTTTCCTTTTTGAGAGTAAAAAAAAATGTGATTGATGGAGTTTGCCATTCTAGTCTTTGTTATTCAAGGCCCTGTCCTGTGAATAGCACTGGGCCACGTGATATCTGATTTCCAGCCTTATGCTAAAAAAAAAATAAATAAACAAAACCCTTTCTTTGCTCTACTAGTGCAATAGGTGAAACTGCCACTCCTTGAGATTCACCTTGAGTAGTCATGTTTCAGCTTGAATAAGTGCAGCCAAGGCTGGTGGCTTGGTCATGGTCAGATACCGTTTCCCTAATAGCCTGAGAGGTCTGTGGGAGTAGAAAAGAGGAAAGGACAAGGAAGATGTAGGAAGCAGGAAGGGTGAGCAGCACCCAGAGACAGCTCAGCATCTCCCGTTGGGCTGGCAGCTGCGTCTTCCTAGCTGTAGGGGGATGACTACCAGAGGCCACACAGCTGGTGGGGTTGGGGCCAGAATTCCTTGGACTCCAAAGTCCACTCTTAAATCAGCTTTCTTGTTTGCCTGTGCTGGGGCCACTTGTGTCAGGGTCCTGGTAGGTGGTCCCCACCCCACATCCCACTGGTATTCCCAGATTGCTCTGAAGTCTGGTAGATCCCAGCCTCCAGAAGTCTGCAATGTAAATGGTGCAGCAAGACCAGAGTGCCAGCGATATTAGTATAAATCAGTGTTGCCCAGTGCATTAAGTGACAGTGAGAAATAAGGCGGTGTGTGTGAGCAAGAAGTAGCAGGCACTCAGGGTTTCCTTGGAACCTGGAAGAGTGTCAGAATGCTGAGGGGAGGGGAGAGGAGGGGAGAGGAGGGGAGGGTCAGTGCCTGTCTGGTGGGGGAGGGCATGTGCCGAGGTGAGCCAGGCACCATATCTGCAAGCAAATTAGCTGGGCCCATGGGAATTCCTCTGGAAATATTAGCTTCGTGGATGTGTAATTATTATCCCAAGCTGCCAAGGCTTGATTGGAATGTAGTTGTTATTCAGAAATCGCCTTCATACCCACAGTGGTGCCTGCTGCCTCTGGCCTTACTGAAAACCAGAAACGCTCCCATCTCGGATCCCATTTATTTCGTTATACCAGGGCCCCTAGTTTTCTTCTTAATTGTCTAAATTGGCTTTATATATTGCTCATAAGGGTTAAATTAAAAGTTTAATTGATCATTTAACAAGGAAATTTACTTTCTTCTGCAAACATAATTGCCTTCTCAAAGGTAGCCTGCCCCCCGGGAGGCAGAAATGCTGTCCCTGGGTCATGGGTCATAGGTTCTTACAGTCTTGTTCTTAAGAAAAGCTGCAGTCCAGGGTTGGGGAACCTCGAATCCCAGTGTTAACACTTTGTGAGGCAGCCTGGCGTGGGTCACAGGCCACATTCCTGGATTCTTAACCATCCAGGCCATTAATCAGCAGTGAAACTGATCACTTACTGCCATTGTATTATTTGCTACTAATTTTTTTTTTTTACTTTGGGAGGGAATAGACTAGGAGCAGTGGTAGAAAAATGGTTCTGGGTGCCAATGACATGCTGTTTCTTAATATGGCTGTAGTTACGCAGTCTCACCTGCTCCAGAGAGTACCCTGGCTTCTGACACCCTAGAGCAGTTCCTCTTGGTTTTGTACTTTGCACACATAGAATTGTACCTCAAGTACCCTTTCTTTGTCTGGCCTCTTTAATTCAATACCCATTATGTTTGTGAGATTTGTCCATATGGTGGGAGGAGTTCTAGTGGACTTCTAGGGACTCCATGGTGTTCATTTGGAAATGGTATCATGCCAGGTCTGCGTCCATCAGTCATTTAGGAACATCCAGGTGAGACTTCGACAAAGTTCAGAGTGCCCCACAATCTTAAAGTATTTTTTTTTGTTTGGGAGGGAACAGATTTAATTCCAATGAAAATGGGGAAAAGGAACCCAAGGATTGTACTCGCCAAAGTGGGGTTAGAGTGGGTTGGCTGCCAGGTCAGGCACTGCAGCCCGCAGGAGTGAGTGAGCGGTAAGAAACTGTGTGATGCTGCATCTCTGTTTTATGTGAGCAGGACGTCAACTAACCCTGTGGTCAGCGGTCCTGAAAGCTCCATGCTCAGCTTTATTTCTTATGGTTGCTAACTGGGCGCTCTGCTCAGCAGCGGGGGTCTCTGTCATTCCTTGCTTGTTGTTTAAGAAGTCCCCTGACATTTTCAGCGTTCCCATTGAACTCCCTCTCTTCACCAGCCACTGAGCACCGTGGTTTGGGGTAATTGTGTGCTATTCAGTGGGGTAACATCTGTTTTCTCCCATCAGGCCCTGGATGGGGATTTCTCTGAAGACAACCGCAATAAATGTCGCATTGCCACTGCGCCCCTGATTGAAGCCGTGGAGAACCTGACAGCATTCGCATCAAACCCTGAGTTTGTCAGCATTCCTGCCCAGATCAGCTCCGAGGTGGGGAGGTTTGCAGCAAAGATAATACTAGTTTTGTGTGGCATTGGAGGAATGTGAAAAGTTAAATTTCCAAAAGCACTCCCTCTGTCACTATGTAGGGTACTGTACTGTTACCGATGATGTTACATGTACTGAGTTAATGAAATTCAGTGACTGCACATCTCTTGAGAGATATCTTATATCTAGAAGACAATCTGTCTGCATAAGTTGGGGCCTGATTGTTTCATGAGATGCATCACACTCAATAGATGCTATTAAAGGAGCAAACACAGACTGAGTTTCCCACTCGCCCTCTGTCTCCTTCCATAGGGCAGAGGTGGTAACTTCGTAAAGAACAGGACCTTCCAGGGCCCACCTTATTCACTCCCGTCTGCACACCCTGACCTTGATCCCTCTGCTGTTTGGTCTCAGGGCTCCCAGGCGCAGGAACCAATCCTGGTCTCAGCCAAGACCATGCTGGAGAGCTCATCATACCTCATTCGCACTGCACGCTCTCTGGCCATCAACCCTAAAGATCCGCCCACCTGGTCTGTGCTGGCCGGACACTCCCATACTGTGTCTGACTCCATCAAGAGTCTCATCACATCTATCAGGTCAGTTTCCCATCTGGAGATCGGTACCAGCGTGCATCTGAACAGGGCAGGAGGAGAAAAAGCCCACTAGGCTTTTTACTTGATAGTAATGTTGTTCATTGTTGTCAGCTTTTTGTTTATCTCTTATCTCTGCAGAACCAACATTACCTGTTATAATAGCTAACTTAAACACTTCCAGTACACCAGACATTGTGTTTTTTTTTCTTTTTTTGGACACAGAGTCTCGCTTTGTCACCCTTGGTAGAATGCCATGGCTCTCTACCACAGCGCACAGCAACCTCAAACTCTTCGGGTTAAGTGATTCTCTTGCCTCAGCCTCCCAAGTAGCTGGGACTGCAGGCACCCACTACAATGCCCAGCTATTTTTAGAGATGAGGTCTCACTCTGGCTCAGACCAGTCTCGAACCTATGAGCTCAGGCAATCCACTCGTCTCAGCCTCCCTGAATGCTAGCATTATAGGTGTGAGCCACTGTGCCCGGCCCCCAGACGTTGTTCTGAGCATTTTACTTATATACTTTATATGAACATCACAGCAGTCTTCTAAGGTAGATACCGCCCTTGCTTCCATTGCACTAATGAAAAACTATTGGAAGAAAGGATTTAAGTAACATTCCCAAGGTCACCTCCAGGCACAGTGGCTCTAGTTGCAGTCGTTCTAATTATTGTTCCACATTGAACCTGGGACTTAGGCAAAGAGCACCATTGTCTTTTTGGCAAGATTTGGCATGACCTTTGGTGTGCTAATAAGACAGACTATTCTAAGCCCGTAGTAACTGGGCAACTCTGACTTCCTTAGTGATATATCTTCCTTAGTAGGAGCCTGAAAAAACATCCCTGAGTAGATACGACATTTCTGAAGTTGACCAAAGTTAATATCCCACCATATGAAATGCATCTCTTTCCTTAGTTATATTTTGCCTCCCAGTTGCTCTTGAAGCTCAGAACCACAATCAGCTTTCTTTCATAATGCCCTGCAAAGAAAAACCCACTATATATTCTAAGTCCTCCTGTAGTCCAGGACTTTGAGAGTAGTATGCAACATAGAAAACACAGAATGTTTATACTGGAAATAGTTCGGACCATTTTTTCCAAACAAGTCCTGTGCTTAAGCCAGAGAATGGAGAACCCAAAGTCCAAATTGTTTCCTTTGCAGTCTCCTGGCATTAGCCTGTGATGGAGGGGAGTGCCATGTCCTTTCTGTCAGAAATAAGAATTCTCTAAAGTGTTAAATTCAGAAATGCACGGGCTGTGCCTCAAGGCATTACCAGCCAAGTATATCAGTATCCTTAAATGAGGTGATGGAGTGCAGGAGGGCGTAGACAGGGGCTCCTGGCCTACCAAGGCTGGGACAGCTTGTGGCACTTGAGCCCCATGGAGCCTGTGTTTGACATGCACTGTCCCTTCTAGGGACAAGGCCCCTGGACAGAGGGAATGTGACTACTCCATCGATGGCATCAACAGGTGCATCCGAGACATTGAGCAGGCCTCCCTGGCCGCCGTCAGCCAGAGCCTGGCCACACGGGATGACATCTCGGTAGAGGTAAGCTGGGGCTCCACGGCATCAGGCTTTTCAGATTGAGGGAGTGGGGCCAAAATAGCTCTGATGCTATTGTGTTACCAATTAGACAACCTGCCCTGTGGAACCAACGTGGGAACTTAATGAAGAGGGCACAGCAGATGCTGAAAGAAGGATGGCTTGGGGAAGGAATGTACATACTACTGGGGTGGAAAGGTCAAATGTGACCGAAACTTGGGGAACAATATCAATATCAGGGGTAGATGGGATTATTGTGTTCATTTTTAGCACATCAGTAGAGCAGACCTAAGCATGTGAATTTTTGAGTGTTTCTCTTTTGTATTTTACCAATACCCTTTTTGGTTTATGGGCAAATTCACCAGTAAACTCTAATGCATTTGGTGCATTCAAAGATACAGAATTATCTCCTAAGTTATTCACCATCTAGCATTTGAGGAACCTAAGTTTTCTATTATTAAATTAAAGCCACTATGCTCGCTCTTGCTGACTTTTTCAGAGTTTAGAATAGAATTTTATGCTGTTTTCCTTTGGGTGTTTTCTAGTACGTGTCCAAAGTCTGTTTCAGAACTTCTTTCTCTGAAGTTATTATTATTATTATTTGCATTTTTTTTCTCCGTGGCTGGGTTTGAACCTACCACCTTTGGTCTATGTGGGCGGCGCCTTACCCCTTTGAACCAGAGGTGCCGCCCTTAGAACTTCTTTCTCTATTGAAAGCAAGTGCCTGATGCTCAGAGGTGCATAAGAAATATGCGTGGTCTGCTTACTGATGTTGACCCTCCTGCCCCTGAGTTCATGGACAATGAGCTTCAGGCTCCGAGTTGGTATCCTTCGTTTTTATAAACAGAGTGATCTGTTTCACTCCAGCTTTACCCCCAATTTTCTCTCTCTTTTTTCCAAATTTCAGATTAATATCAGGGTACAGATGATTAGGTTACGTTGTTCACGTGTGTCAGGTAGAGTCCCAGTTGTACTTGTGTCCTTCCCCCAGGAGGTGTGCCGTAGACCCCTACATTGTGCCGTTAGGGGAGAGCTCACCAATCCCCCTCCCTCCTTCCTTCTCCCCCCTCCCCAACTTGAGTTTAATTGTGTTTTTCTCTTGTATGGTGTGTATTTGTTCATCTACTGGTTTCATATTAGTGTTCGGTACATTTCCATACCCCCAAATTTCAAAAAAAGAAAGAAGTGTATTCTCATCCTGTATGGAGTGCTAGAATTATTCTTTTTAACCTGTTATTAAAGTATCTGCATACAGATATGTGCATATAAGTGTACCGCTTGCAAGCATGCCATTAACCAGCTCCCAGATCAAGAAGCAGAGATGACCAGCACCTCCAAAGTGTGCCTCTCGTGCCTCCCTGCTTTTACCATTACTTTATACCCAAAGTATATCCTCCGTGTGCCTCACTAGGAAAAAATTCTTCTCCTTTAACTGCATGTGCTCGTTAATCATACCATATTTAATCTAATAAGCATCCATCATAAACAGCATTGCTGGAATATTCCTACCTTCTTGACTATAAGCATATTACAAATGTGAAGATGATAAGTAATTAACTAAATAAAATCTCCTTGGACTTCTTAGAAGTTTCTCTTCACCACTCCTATCTCTCTTTTTCCTTTTTTTCCCCAGGATTTTGTTTTCAAGTTTGCCTGTTAGGCTACTCCTCTCATGAAAGAAAGTGCCCCAAACCCCTAGCCCTGGCATCCTCAAACTATAGCCCTCAGGCCACATGCAGCCTTACCTAGAACATTTATCCAGCCAGCCAGGTGTTTTTGCTGCCGCTGCCTGTCCTGCTTAGCAGCTGACTCCTCCTGGGGCCCACAGTCTGGCCCTCCAATGGTCTGAGGGACAGTGAACTGGACCCCTGTTTAAAAAGTTTGAGGACCCCTGCCCTAGCCCATATGTAGCATTGTTTTGTAGGAAAGTACAAAAGGCAAGAGTCTGATTTCTGATGAACAGGACATCGCCACTTTGTCAGAGATTGCCTAATTCCATGCTGGAGAATGTCCAGTGTTCTGATCTGTTAATTCTGAATCTGTCAAGCGAAGCTCCCATGAATAGTTCTCAAAGGGATCTGATCTTCACTGACCCTGGTTAATCATCTCCGCCTTTGAATTTCCCAACCCCTCATACTCCTAGAATCGTCTAGATATCTTGCTGTGTCTCTTTACAGCATGATTCAATTCTTCGGGAGTAGAGAGATTAAACCATCAAACCTGAGAAGAAATGCTTTGAGAGTAGCGTTTTTAATATTGCATGCACACCACAAAATGCAGCGGCCTCTGAGAGTCTGAGCTGGGCTCAGGGCTTCTCACTTAGCATTTTCCCTAAAATGCATCGTTTGGGAAGCAGTTCTGTTTTCAAAGAACTTATTTCATTTTTACATCATTCTCCCTTCTTAAGGGGTTATTAGTTCTGCCAACAGGGTGACCCACATTCTCCCTCACTGTTAGCTGTCTCCATTGGGATGAAATTGCCTTTCCTTCCTGGAAGGGACGGGTCATCGGCATGTCTGGTAATCGTGCTGAATAACAGGAAGTAAAGATACTAGTAGCATCAGTTGTCAGAGTTGGCATGTTGTTAGGAGTGAGAAGCTGGTAGGAAGGGTGTGTCTCAGGCTCACCTCTTTCTTGGGAGCAACAGTAGAGGGGTCCAGCCATGGGGCACTAAGACATCATAGAGGAGGGCAAGGAGCCATGGGTTGATGGCATGCACCCAGGCATTTGGATAGACATTTCATGTGATCCCCCCCATCCTGTATACAGACACATGGGACCTTCAGGTGTCCTTTTTGAATCACTGCAGCTCCGCGAGGAGCTGTCGTGGGATGAACTTGATAACTCTCTCCTCCTCAGGCCCTCCAGGAGCAGCTGACCTCAGTGGTCCAGGAAATCGGGCACCTTATCGATCCCATTGCCACCGCAGCTCGGGGAGAAGCAGCTCAGCTGGGACATAAGGTAACAGGCTTCAGAAGGATCCTGCTGAGGGCATGTATGCATCCACGAGAGAGGATTTGATTAACCCTAAAGCCTGTGGGGCCAAGCACTATGCCCAGGTCCAGTGCTGGCTTCAGGGGCAAGAAATAGCACCAAGCCTCCCTCCGACATCTCCTCCAAAAATGATCACTTCAGAATCTGTTTTCACCTAGAATTGAGATGAAAACCACAGTGAAATTTTCCTGGTTGTGGTCAGACTTCAGCTGACTTGCCATTTACAGTCACAAGTTGGTTTTGGCCTTTGCTGAAATAATTCAGAGACTGATGCTGACCCTCCTCACCTTTTCTCCCTGGCTGGCCGACTGGCCTCATTCTGGTGTGTTTAAGGGCACGTTATTCTTCTGTGGCTTCTAATATAGTGGCTTTTCTTCTGTGGATGAGGCCAAGCAGACCCCACTCTGTACAACCAAATCCTCCTTAGGCGGCCACTCCAGAAGGGCTATTCAGTTGGAGGTTCATGGCCACGTTGTTTTAAGTGTGAATGATGTTCGGCCTCTTTGGAGGTGATTTCGCAAATCCTTCAAGGAGAGTTGGCTTGTCATGTGGCCCGTGTCTCAGCAGGAAAGGGCCAGAAATTGGGTTACGAACAACCTTGGGGTTCCTCAGCATTTCATCAGCATAGCTGTCAGGATTGATGTTCACGTGAAGAAATGCAGTATCTAATATCTTCCCTGTAGGTATTGATTTTAGAAAATCAATATTCTTGCTTTTTCAAATTACAGAATAGCTTAAGGGCCTATTAACCTCCCCATGGCTGCTAAAGTGGGAAGGGTTTTGAGATTTTAAAATAGCCAGTGTCTCTGCCTTTTCAAGTGTACCAAATCTTGTCTTTTATTGAGTTTCTTTATATAGTAATCAGAAAAGGGCTTGCCACCTGAGTGAAGAGGTTTGCGGGAGCAGAGGGTTGGTGTTGGAGGCAAGCACCACTGCCCTTTTTAGGGAAACTAAGTTTAGCCGAGAAGCTGAACCATTGTTTCAGCAGTTGCCTTTGAGGCCATTAGAAATTTTGTAAGACAATATTTCGGGACATCTTTAGAGGGCAATACTGCCTCTGCAGATACTATGTTAGTGTACAAGATGAATTCCTAAGTGGTTAGCATTAAAAGAAACATAAAACTATGTTTATGTCACTTGACTTAAAAATGTGCTCTTAGCCCTTGGGCTGAAAGAGTCTCTTTCTAAAGGAGAGTTGTGGACACGGGCTACCTGTAGCCTCTCTCTGGAGGGCTGAGGGTTACCACATGGTTTCCACTGCTTCCTTATGGTGCTTACAGGGGTGGGGGGTGTCCCAGATAGCACCTGGGTAAGCACCATGATAAGAGGTGCAACTTCTCAGACCCTAACTGTGCTGTTTTCTGTGGCTTAGAACAACAGAAACTTATTCTCTCACAGTTTGGGAGGCTAGAGTTCAAAATGAAGGTGCTGGTGGGGTCATGCTCCCTTTGGGGGACATGGAGAGGGTTCTCTGGAGAATCTGTTCTTTGCCTCTGGCATCTTTTTCCTGGTGCTCTGTGACCAGCATCCCAGTCTCTGCCTCTGTGATCACATTTTGGGTCTCTTCTTCTGTCTCTGATGTGGGCACTTATCGTTGGGCTTAAAGCCCATCCAGGTACTCGAGAATGATCTCATTTCAAGATCCTTAACTTAAATATCTCTGCAAATACCCTTTTGCCCATTCAGATCACATTCTCTAGTTCAGAGATTCAGCCCACTATGCCACCCTCGCCCAAGAGAATGACCATCATAGGCCAGATACTCAAAATTCTGTATTATTTGAAATTACATGCTAACCCAAGTGAGGATGTTTCCTGTTCTATCATGTCTCTCCGTAACAAAAGGTATAAAAGTCCTTGCCAAGCTCCCTAAATTCAGGGAAAAGCACATCCCTCCAAAAACCTGTGCCTATGATAAGCAGTAGCAGCAGGTGGCATTTATTGATTGCTAACAATATGGCAGTTATTATGATAAGTTTCATTTTATCCTCCTAACCATCCTGATGAGCTTGGTGTTATTATTAATCCCCATCTTGCAGATGAGGAAACTGAAGTTTAGAATTAGGAAGTAGTTTGCTGAGGACTGAATCAGAGGAGATTCAAACCCACTGACTCTGAAGCTAGAACTGAATTTCTTCATCATTGAGCCACATGGGCTCCACAGGGAAGCTGGGCTCTAGTTCAGTTATTATACTTAACTGCTGTCAGCACACAGCAGCCCTGGACATTTGGCAGTTGCAATGATGAAGTACAAGTTTAAAATGATAATAGTAACCTAGAAAACTTGTGAGATTCTAATGCATTCAATATTTCCACTCCTTCTTTAGTTCATAAAGGTCCCACCCTATGCCCTGACCACCCATCAGTGCCCCATGCCATGTGGTGGCAACACCAATGCCCTTCTGGGGAAAGGGATGAAATCAGAAGCAAGTATGTGTGGCTGCTGCCTGAGGTCGCTCTGGCTGGACCCTACACAGAGGTGTATGGCCGAAGCTCAGAGCAGGGGCTGCAATCCAGCCTGTGCTCTGCTCACCAAGCCATGTGCCCTGGTGTTGGGCAAGTGTGCCCAGAGGACCTCTTTAAAATTCACACAAAGGCACCCTTAGGGCCAAGAACAGGCATGCTCCTGCACTTTGAAACCTATCTGTACCAGTTCCTAGTGAGGATAACAGAGGAAAAGTCTGTTTATTGCTGACTGATAGTCTCACTATTGGCCGTAGCGAAGTTTTCTTTTATCGACACCCCTTCAGCTTGCCCCAGCCACCACCACCCTCATGATCCCCCCACCCCTCACTTTGTTTCTGGCCCAGGGGTTGCTCTTGGGCAATGGTCTTCCTGCCTATAGCTCCACAACACATACTCCTTCCACGTGACGGAAAGAAGCATTCAGGGAGTTGCTGGCTAAAGGTCTGGACCTAAACACCCTTGTTGGGTGTGATCATGCCACTGGGTTTTATATGAACGGGGGTAGATTCTGGTATCTAAAGCAAATACACCAAAATGTTAAAATCTGATATTCTGGGTGCTAGGCGTAGGGGAGTTATTGTATTCTTTTCAGGCTTTATTTTAAATAGTTTGTAATGCAAGAAATACCAACCTATAAACTTCTCATGTGCAATGTTGCAACAGCAGCAGGACTGGAATCTAGCGAAGAGAACAGAGTGCGGTAGCCGAGAGCCGGGCTGTGGGGCCAGACACCTGGTTCCTGTCCCCTCCCAGCCACATGAGACAGAATGTGCAGCTCAACCCATCGGGGCCTCAGTTTCTTCATTTGTATCTGCCTCTTAGAGTTGTTGGGGACATTAAGTGGGGAATTGTAGGTTAAATATTTAGCAGAAAGCCCAGCACATGGGGTGCACCCGATAAATATCTGTGACCTGTGACCCCACAGCACCCAAGTGGTGAGCTTCAGTGAGCAAGTGTGTGTTCATGTATGATACTGTCCTTCCAGAAGTAGGCCTGTGCTGAGGCACTGGTTAGCTGCCAGCACAGGCTTTTTGTTCTCCCAGGTTGGGCTTCTCATAAACAAAACGTGCTGATTTCACATCATTTGTGAAATCATTTGTGCTTTTATCCCACATTCAAGGCTGGGTCAAAAGGCATGGGCCAGAAGGCAAGTGGATTGGCTTCTGCAAGAGCTTGGGAAGATTCCTTTCCTCTCAGGCTTCTTTTCTCAGTCTTCTCAGCTCCCCTGCTGTCCTCTCCCTGTTTGGCGCCCCCTTCCTTCTGAGTGTGTAAAATGCCTTTGGTTCTTTAAAAAGGTCTTTTCTTTCTTTGAGGCTGGGCAAGGTAGTTCACACCTGTAATCATAGCACTCTGGGAGGCGGGAGGCGGAGGCAAGTTGGTTGCCTGAGCTCAGAGGTTTGAGACCAACCTGAGACAGAGCAAGACTTGTCTCTAAAAATAGCTCGTCATCTATAGTCCCAGCTACTTGGGAGGCTGAGGCAAGAGAATCACTTGAGCCTAAGAGTTTGAAGTTGCTGTGAGCTATGACAGCACAGCACTCTACTGAGGGCAACAAAGTGAGATTCTGTCTCAAAAAAAAAAAAGTTCTTTATTTGTAAAAGCTGATGATTTGTAAAGTCAAATTCAATTCTGATCTGGCTCTCAGAATAAATTTCTTAGCACTCCTGCCATGTATTTTTTTTAATTTTTTTTTTTTTTTTGAGACAGAGTCTTATTCTGTTTCCTGGGCTAGAGTGCCATGGTGTCATAACTTAACAGCAACCTCAAACTCCTGGGCTCAGGTGATCCCCTTGCCTCAGCTAGGACTACAGATGCCCACTATCATACCAGGCTAATTTTTTTTTTATTTTTAATAGAGGTGGGATCTCACACTTGCTCAGGCTGGTCTCGAACTCCTGAGCTCAAGCAATCCACCTGCCTTAACCTCCCAGAGTACTAGGATCATAGGTGAGCCCCTATACCTGGCCACTTCTGCCACATTTAGAGAAAGATGAAGAATTCCCCAGAGGAAGTAAAGACCAAGCAAGAGTTTATTAATTAGCAAGTACGTTGAACAGTAAATTGTAGCAGATCTGCCCAGCCCTGATCCCAGCCCCCTCCCCTAACATGGTGCCCCAAAGGAGACACGTACGCTCACATGATGTATCTGTGGCTGCTTTCTTTTGTTTTGGGTCTTGAAAGGTGACACAACTGGCAAGCTACTTTGAGCCTTTGATCTTAGCTGCAGTTGGCGTGGCCTCCAAGATTCTTGACCATCAGCAGCAGATGACTGTGCTGGACCAGACCAAGACGCTGGCAGAGTCTGCACTGCAGATGCTGTATGCAGCCAAAGAAGGTGGTGGAAACCCCAAGGTAAGTTCAGGATGTCGGGCACTCAGGACCACTAAGAAGGCCTCATGCGTTCCTGCCGTATCGTGCCCCTCCAAGAATGAACACCTCCAGCGCTCGCTGGTGGCATCTGAGTTCCCACCCAAGGTGGGAAATAAGGTTGGGCCTTCCCAGTGATCCTTAGAGTGAAAAAAACCAAGAAATATATATAATCAAGGCTCATGTTTAAGTTCTTTTTTCCTTGACAGAATGTATAAAACAGTGCTCTTAGGGGAGAAAAACATGTGATGTGATAATTACAGGAATAAAAACTGAACTACTTGCTGAATCCCTGCTCAGTGCTGACACCCAGCTTGCACAAAGATTTGTCATTTTCCAGTGAATGCGATTTCTGTTTCTAGTGCTTAAGAGACTAGTTGAATATGAAAATCTCCCTTACCAGTTTGCAAGAGGAAGGTATCTTCAGCCTATAGTGTCACCCATCTGCTTTAAGTGGCCAAAGATGATGACAGCCTGTCACAGGTGACCTTGTACCATGTTTTACTCTGAGTCTGGGAACTTAGAAAGAGGGAACAGCATATGCAAAGACTCTTAGGGTTATAAAACAATTGTGATGTCTTCAGATAGTGGTGAATAGTCTGGTGCATCTGGAACATACAAAGGGTAGGGACAGCTGGACAGAAGACTATATTGTGACAAGTCTTCTCTTCCATGCTGAGCAGTCTGGTCTTTATTGTAAAAGTAATGGGGAGCCATTGATGGTCTTGAAACAGGGCAATGACACAACTAATCTCTATTTTAGAAACATCATACTGGTTCATAACGTCTTGGACTTATATTTTCCTTGCTTAGTTTTTCGTTCATGTGTCAGGCGATTATTAAGAGCTTTATTCTGGTGTTGTTAAGAGCCAGGCACTGCCCTCAAGTTGTTCAGGGTCTTTTAGAAAAATAAGTCTGGTTGCTGGAGAGATAAGAGAATGCAAAGTACAAAGAATGCCATTTTGACTCTGCTAGGTTAATAACAGGTGCCCTGGAATTTTGCTAGTCCCCTTTGCACCCTCTGCAGACAGAAAGAGTCATAACTCACCTTTCTGATGGCTACAAGTCCTCACTCCTCCTTGAAAGGGTTTCAGTTTCAGCAGAATAATTTGGAAGTAGGAGTTTGCCAGACTTTTAAGATGTTAGCATACCTGTTTGGACTGCAAGCTGAGAGTTTGCAGTTTTATTTCATCCCAAGGAACTTTATGGCTGAGAGCACCCATAGCCAGCACTGTGGGTTTTGTAGTAATAGCCACTCCTTGGAAATGGTATCTGGAATATTTTCTGATAAGTGTGAAATTATTTCCCCTGAATGACGAGATACACTGAATTTTGAAGCAGGGCCCGATGGTGAAGGTGAGGCCGATGATCGCTTGTACCCCTCGCCGATCTCAGCCAGCCTGCACTCTGTCCGCAAACCCCGACAGGCTTGGGATGCTACAAATGTGCTTATTTAGACCCTTTCCTGGAAAGCCTTGTGCACAGACTTAATCAACCTGGGTGTTATTCTTCCAGCAGATACTTACTAGGTTTTTATAGAGTTAAATGGTTGTGAAATAGCTGTGGGTAGCTTTGATTTGGTGAACAAAATAGCACAAGTTTTGGGGTCGACATTGGATTCAAATCCTAGCTCTGCCTCTTGCTAGCAGATCACTTCATTTCTTTGTTTCCTTGTCTATATGGTGGGGTTCATTGTGAATCCCTCCCTAGGGTGGTTATAGAGACTAAACAAGATAACGTGCCTGACGTAATGAGAGATTAAAAAAAAAAGTGGCAGCCCCAGAGCCCAGTGTTAATGAATAATTACATACTTCCCAAGGCATTTTCTGTGTGACTTTTCCTCACCCCACTGACTCCCTTCTACACTCGCCCCAACCCCACCCACTTTCCTTCTCCAGCATCCTTGATGGGCCCCTGCAGCCTCTCTGCCTGTGACACTCCAGCAGAAACACCGCGTTATACACTGTAGGGATGTTCACGTTCATTTTTTTCCCCTCCATTAAAGCTCAAATCTCCCCCAGCCTCTGTAGGCCGCTCCCATCTCCCATACCCGGGTGATGTCTGTGCCTGCTCTCCGGGAGTTTGTAGCCCAAGTAGCAGTACTAACGAAGCAAGGCTCTCTCATGGGAGCAGATTTCACATATGTGTCCAAAATAGAACAGAGCCTGGGTTTTCTTGTGCGTTGTACTTCATTGTTGGGCCTGCTGACTCCACTTACTAGATTGCTGCTGGTTGTTTAAATGTGCCTTAACTGAGGTCCAGCTCTGTGTTTGGGTGTCTGAAACCACTGAACACAGCTAGCAGGCCTGTATGATTGGAGACAAAGCCATCTAATAAAGATGTCCAATAGAGACTTGCCTTGGAGTTCAGAGGAAAAGGCCCTAGATAAGGCCCGGAGTAATGGGAGGAGTCTTCATAGAAGAGGTGGACCCTGGGCTGACCCTCTAAAGGTCTGTAAACCTAAACTTGAGGAGTTAAAGGAAAGCAGGGCCCTAGAGTATTCATCAGCGTGAGCACACAGAAAGGAAAGTCACTTCTGGGATAGCCAAGAACACGGATATATTTTTGAGTTTTTGCCGACTGGTACAGGACAAGTGTCCTTTAACTTTTTCCAAGGAGTTCAGAGAACAGTTTTGTGGTTTACTGCTGCCACCCCCAAAAGTTGCTTCTGATATCTTCCTAAGCTGGCGTGAAAGAGCAGATCTTTGGCAAGCAGCGCTCACCTCTCCTCCAGACGTGTGCTAAGTTTTAATGGGAATATATAGAATTGCTGGCTTTTTTTTTTTTTTTTTTTTTTGCAGTTTTTTGCCAGGGCTGGGTTTGAGCCATATGGGGCTGGCACTCTACTCCTTTGAGCCACAGGTGCCGCCCGAATTGCTGGCATTTTTGTGAGACTTAGAGAAATACACACCTGTGTGAATAAGAGTGGAAGGGATGCTCTTTCTGGAGGGTGCGTACAGGAGATACCACCTTTCAGACCTCTGTGGTCAAGGCAGTCTGCACGTTTTGAGTTTTACCCACTCTGTGTTGTGAAATTAGCTCTCAGCCTCAATTACCAGTTTACACTGTTCATCCCGAAGAGGATGAAACCATACGCACAGCTGGGCCTCAGGGGCAACCATCTGTGATCAGCACAGTTCCCCTCTCATCTGATGCTGTATGTGAGGAACACTTCTGGCTTCCCATGGCTTTCCAGTTCAGACAGGGACAATTCCTGTGGCTCTCATAGCCTCTTCTCGGGATTCTTTTTTATTTAGAAAATTACTTAAAAGACTTATCATTTACCTTTTCCCACTGGCTTCCTTACCTTCGTATCTCCCCAGATGAAGACGCATCACCTTGGTCCTTTCAGCAGGGTCATAGGTCATCTTCCCTTGAGGAGAGTCAGGGCAGCCATAACCATCGCAGGGGTATACCTGGGTGCCTGTGTGCCCAGCTTAATTCTGCTACCAACTACCTGGTGTTAGGGTAGGGGCCCAGTCCCCTCCTAGACTGCCCTTGTTATAAATGATAAGGTGCCTGCACTCATCTCATCAGAACCTCATGCATAATGTTGTTAGGGTTATTCTCCTTTCACTTAGGAGGGAGCGAAGCCCAAGGCTGCTTACCGAGTTAGCGGTTGAACAGAACTAGAGCCCAGCTTGGTCTGACCCAGCACCTGGCTCTTCCCTCACATCTTGCTACCACTTGAGCTGTCCTTCAGAGGCCCAGCACTACCACCCTTGTCTCATCCTTTCATTCATTCATTCATTAATCTAATCTCTACTCTGCTTGGCACATGTGTGAATACCTGCTCCAAGGTCTGGTCTCAGGGAGGCGTCAGTACTTGGGGTTTTGTCTTCAGAGCCTCTGTCCTTGAAGTACCTTCCTCATTCACGACCCCAACCTCTTGTCATTTGTAACATAGTTCCAAAGACCGTTAAGCCTTCTACGGATTAATTTCTCTTATATGCACCTACACGTCCACAGTCCAGTTGTATTTGTAAAAAGAGAATTTAGTGTGTTGGGCAGTGTGCATGCTTTTCCTTTATATCGGTTTTTTTTTATTAAATGTGTCGGCTTATATATTTAGGAACCTGTGGCATTCTTTCTCCTATGCTAACATAAAAAGATATAAAATTCATCATACTATGCTGTTTGATATTGCCGTTTTATTTTCCTTCTTGATTGTAAAACAGAGTTTATTTTCTGTTTGTTTTTCTGGTTTCTATTTTGCAAACAAATAGACAAACATGAACAAGGCCAGGGAAGGTGCGGAGTGCATTGCTGAGCTCCGTGGTGGGGATATAGGTTTATATGATGTTTTTTCAGGCTGTTCTTAAAAGAATTGAAATGATCCCTGAAAGACCAAGCACCACTTTCTTCTGCTTAAGGAAACACTTCCAATTCCTTTCTCAGGCGCAGCACACCCACGATGCCATCACGGAGGCCGCCCAGCTGATGAAGGAAGCTGTGGACGACATCATGGTGACGCTGAACGAAGCCGCCAGTGAAGTGGGGCTGGTGGGGGGCATGGTGGACGCCATTGCAGAGGCCATGAGCAAGGTAGGCGCGGGCTCCCCAGCCTTCTCCTCAACTTCATCTCTCTCAGGCATGGGCCTCCCGTGCTTTTGCTCTAAGGAGCCAACTGACAGCGTTTTCTTTTATTGAAGGTTGTTTTGGTTGATGTCCAGATGCCCAATCCTATGTCCAACATATGATTCTTGATTATTAATGCATTACTTTCATATTAGCCAGGCACACCCTTCCTTCTTGTTTTATATGAAGAAAAAGATCGGATAGGTTTCCTCATTTTTTAAATGGAAATAATTATTTACCTCCCCTGTGTCTTTCATAGGGTGGTTGTGGGGAACAAAGTCCACAAGGAAATAACAGAATGAGTCCCATGTGCTGGTTCTTGGAATGGCTACTTTGGAATCCCAGGGAGCTTTCAAGAATGCAGATTACTGGGTGCCATCCTCAGCTAGACTCAGGTGGAATCTCTACAGGGTAGAGCCTAGGATTCACTATTTATACTTTTTTTTTTTCAAGATTGAACTTGCTTTATAAAATATGGAATGCTTCACCAATTTGCATGTCATCCTTGTACAGGGGCCATGCCAATCTTCTCTGTACCATTCCAATTTTAGTATATGTGCTGCTGAAGTGAGCACCACTATTTATACTTTGAAAGTCTCCCTCAGAGTTCTGGTAAGTGCAGAAACCACTGAAATAGTATGTCTAAAAGCCCTTAGTGAGCTCCTGTAGGCTACAGACTTAGAAGATAACACAAGGATCATTTTCTCATTTAGTGACCCACCCATTGAGCTGGGTCAGTAGAGAAATATGACTGGAGACAGTCTCACCTTCCAAGGAATCCTTCACTGGTCATGTCAGTTGGATATTCATTAAAAGGAACAATTGTTCATCAACGTCTAATTGCCATCCTGGGATAGCATAGCCAAGAATTTTCGGCATCATTGGTGTTTTGAAATGTCCATTGTCAAATTGTGAATACGTTAATATGGTTATTCAGCATAATAACCAGTCTTTAATTGCTAATTTAGAGAAGATTGGCTGTTCATATCTCCATAAAGAAATGATACCCTGAAACTATAATTAGAATAATTATTTTTAAACATTATGCAGCCATTGTCAGGCTGATAAAGTTACAAGCCCAGGCTGGGATGCCTTGTCTCCCCTTACAGACCTTGTGTCTCCCCTTATAGACCCCAACCTTGAATTTCTCTAAGTATCTGTTAATTTTTGCTGTGGGCTTCACATGCATCAAATATGGACAGTTAGGCAGAAAATGAGTGAAATTCTCTGCCCTTTCTCAAGGCTCTTGGATATGTCTCCTTAGATATGTTTGGTTTTCAGCACATCAGAAACCAGAGTTTTCAAATAAGCTATATGTTAATACCTACCAAGGACAGTAAATAATGGAGCCCAAGGTTTCTTGGTATAAATTGGAAATTTTAACAATGATCTTTTCTTCTTCTCGGGAGAAGGTACTTTTTAGAATCACTATAATTATAGGGCAACATTCCATGAACTCCTGGAAGATGAAGATCAGATCCCTAAGTCTTTTTTTGATGGCCCAGAGTCTTAGGCACTGTGACGGGCTGTGGGCGGGGAAAGTGGGCCCTGGACCACCTGTTCTCTCAGCCAAGGACACACTTGGAAATCAGTCTGCTATTAGCAATAAGTAAGAACAGCTGATGACGTAATAAGCCACAGAGGCCAGGAATAAAGGTTCCCCATTCCCAGTTTCACCAAGTATATAATTTGAGTTTCACTGATTCCCCTAAATCAGTGGTTCTACAGTGACCCACGGGAACTTTATTAAAGGGCCACGGCATTAGGAAGGTTGAGAACCACTGGCCTAAACACCTTTCCTGACCTGACATCCAGGGTAACCACACAGCTTCTCTTCCCCACTCTTCCCCTTCTTAACCTATCACTGGGGACTTTGTTGCAGGTGATATTTCAGGTCCACTGGGCCCCTACACAGTAAGGCATTAGAAAGCTGGTGTTTTTCTCCCAGAGTTTTGTTAATTTGGTTAAAACACCTAAGATACTATTAGTCTCTTCATGTAAAATTCTCAAAGGCAGTGACTAACTTTTGAGTTGCTTAGGTACAAGAATTGCATCCAAATTGATTATGATTGATGTAAGGTTTGTATCCAAGTTGATCGCAATTTGATACAATTGTTGACACTTTGGGGGCTTCTGCTATGAGGTTCTCTTTGCAATTCTTTCTTCACATCAAAGCACTAGCAGGTTTGGGAACCTAATGGGTGAGTATGAAGTAATCAGCTTTCTGGGTAACTTCGGACAAGTCATTTAAGCTCTCTGAACCCTGATTCCTCCTCCAGTGAGGCTAGTGGGATCCTGTGGGATATTTATGACATAGTGCCTTTTCTTTGTTTTGGGTTTTCGTTTTGGCCAAGAAAGAAAATTAACAAAACAAAGAAAATCTCTACTGTCTAAATCACTGCTGTTTTATACAGGGCATCCATAAAGCTTGTGTGCAACTTAAAATAGCAACTACGTAAGAAAGGTCATATTAACACGAACAAAAGTAGGAAGGCTGTCTTGAATGTCAAAATAAAGTTCTTTCCACTAACTAATGTCAAAATTCTGCAAAGCTCACTACTTCATTCTTTTCCCATAGTCTTCAGACTGGTTCAAGGTTTGTCATGGTTGTTGGTGGTCGTGGGCTAGGAGTTCTGAGCTCTTCTCTAGCTCCAGCAACCCGGCATGTTGAGTTACGTCACATCTCACATGACACCTCCTTGCACACAGCCTGACGCTTACAAGATGCTCGCTCGGTCATTTCACACCAAGCAAGTGAGCGCAAGCTCAGTCTTCATTGACTGGCAGGCCCTCTGCGCTGTGATGGGGCTATTTGGCAGGGTCTGTATACCTGCTAAGGAAAGCTAAAATGTCTAGCCAGGGGTTTATGTTACAGTTTGGTGAAAAATACATCCCCGGCTGTGTAAGAGCCACATCACACACAGGCTGCATTCTCTCACAGGGTAGCTCACGTCCATGCTCACATAAGCTCTTATCGAATACTTCATCCAGCGTTTTCCAAATTGACCTCTTTGCCCCAGTCTTTTTCCTGTCTCCAAACCATATGGCACAGAGCTGCCAGGAAGATCTTCAATATGCCACTGCCTCCACTCCCCCTGTTTTCTTCATGATTTCAAGATTCTCATGAAAACAGACCCCCCCCATTCCCACCACTCTCACCAGCCCCCTTCTGTGAGGCCAGGCCGACCTCACAAGGCTCACTCTTCCCACACTCACTTCAATTCCCTGTCTCCTCACCTGGTGTATCATCAGCAGCCAGTGGTGACAGCAGCAGTGACAGGTGGTGAAGCTGGGTTGCCTTTTTCCTCATCATAGACATAATTGACACGATCATCATCATCTCCATTACCGTGGTCATTCTCTCTTCCTCCTGCATGTAGTTTTGACCAAGTATAGTTTTTAATTTTACTCCAACCACGTGATGCTCGGAAGTTCCCAGTGTCGGACCTGAGACTCAGAGTCTAAGCTTGAGGCTCATTCACAAGCCCTGGAACAGGGTCTCGCACACAGGTCTTCTGAACCAAAGTCTCCAGCCCTTCAACCCTCTATCCCAACTCTTCCACTGGGCAGTGACCTTGCCCTTCTCTCCATTTCTATTGCTCTTACAGTCAGGTGAGCAGCAGCAGCTTATTCCTGGCGCCCCCACTTTCTTCCATTCCCTGGCCTAGATCGTAAGTAAAGGTTCCCTGTTGTAGCTATCCATGGACTAGACCATTCCTAGAAAGCCACTTCACCACGGAGACCTGCGGCCTGGCCACATGCTGATTTAATGAGGACTTTTTTTGCTTATCTGGATACATGCAAAATATGTAGGGTTTTGGTTTTTGTTTTTGCTAATCAGCTTTTGTTAGTGTTTGTGTATTTAACGTGTGGCCTGAGACAGCTCTTATTCTTCCAGTGGCCAGCAGAAAAGACAAAAAGGTCGGACACCCCTAGAGGCTGCCTCCTCTCCCATCTTACCTTCCACTACTTTGTACTTTCCTAGAAGCGTCAGGCTCACTTCTGCCTCCGTGGGAATGAATGCTGTTCCCTTTCCATGGGATACCTTCCCGGGGGGCAGCCTCCTCATCACCCAGTAAGACTTAGCTAACACATCAGTCCTCTGGAAGGCCTCCCACTCATCTCAGATGCGCTGAGGGCCTCTCCTTGCCTGTGTGCCCCAAGTGATGTGCACCTCTGTAGAAGTTCTTATTGTTGGGTGATTCTGTTGATTCTGGGCCAAAGAATCTCTGAGGGCCTCTCTATTTTGCAAAGTTCCTCATTTGAATAAATACAGTCCACACTTCACCAGGCTTCTTGTGACTTTTGGTTTCTCCTCCTCTCCTCTGTAGCTGGATGAAGGCACTCCTCCAGAACCAAAGGGAACATTTGTCGACTATCAGACGACTGTGGTTAAATACTCCAAAGCCATTGCGGTGACGGCTCAGGAAATGGTAAGAGGAGAAAGAGCTGCCGTCTCCCCTGTTGATTGCCCTTTTGTCCACTGGCACCACCGAGCCTTTAAGTCCAGAATCTGTTGGACAGAGAGCTCAGTCTGTGTCTCTGGTCCCTGCGGTGCTCCGACTTCTGTTCTTTCCCTGTGGCCTTTCTGGCTGCCTGTGGTCTGGAAGCTTCAGTCTGCTGGAGCTCATCTCCTAGGAAAGCTGCAAGATGATGAGAGATGGGCATGAGGACAGGGGAGCAAAGGAAGGAGAGAAAAAGAGGAATTTGGAGTTAAGGAGAAAGGGGAAAATTCCTGTTCACCTCTCAGAGGACTGGAGGTGTTTTTATAGATTGAAATTAAAACACACAGATGAGATTGTCAGATGAAATCAAATTATACTTGGACAGTAAAATGTTGCCAGTCTTTCAGGCAAAATGAAACAACATGGTTATGTAACGGGAGAAGGCATGTAACTTTTGGAGATTTTTTTTTCTAAAATGTAATACAACCAGAACCGTATTCTGTAGCTCCTTAGATATAAATGGCATTGAGAGACACTGAACGCTCTCCCGTTATACTGAAAAGTTGACAAGAGATGACAAATGCTATCTTCAAAGAATTAATAGGAGTATATAGAAACAGTTCCTGTCAACTTTTGAAGGCTTGGATATCATGAGATAAGATTCCAGACAATGCCTCTTTGATACTTGCCGTGGAGGCCTGAGTTGTGAGATCAAGCGGCCCTCCTAGCCACATGTGGTCCCTGTTCCATCAGGCCTGGGCGCGTCCCTGAATGGTTTTGTCATGTAATCATGTGTCCACTAGAGGTTGAGCTTGGACCACAAAGGCTTCCCTGGCTGCCGCTGCTTCTTCATGGAAATCCGTGATCATGGCAGGCTTGCTGTTGTGTGAAAGCGTTGGGGCTGGGGGAAGAGGTGGGCATCGCACCCATCTCAATGTTTTGTGAGAAATTGGAGTTGAGGCCAAACTTGGTCTTCTCAGGGAGCTCAGGGGATGCGTCACAGGTCTGATCCAGCAGCTCTTTGGTGTCGATTTCTGATGATCAGGGAGCCCAGCATAGCAACAATGAGAATGTTTTTGAGGGGCCTTATGGTGTTTCTTGAATATCTTCTGGGCCAGGTTCTGGACTGGCTTGTCTGACCCTGGGTGTCCATAACCTGAGGAGATCAGACTTGGGCCATGTGGACACTCCTGAGGTGACCAGCCTGACACCTGGAATTGGAGTCAGGTTACCCCAGAATTGTCACGCACCTGTTGACAGGGCATAAATGGAGCAGCGGCACCTGCTGCTACCTCCTTCTCTTGGAGTTCAGGTGCATTCCTTGGAACCCACACCTCAGCCTGAAGCCTGTGGCATTTTCTTATAAACATGCCTTTCTGAGATGGAAAGGACATTCCCATCCTGCCTTTTGGAGTAATTTAAAGGGTTTTTAAAAAAATCCCTTTAAAATCAAGATCTGAAAAGGCTGCAGAGAGACACTATTGTTATCCTGGGTGAGAGGGGTGTGGGGCAGAAGGGAAGCCACTTGACAATGGGCAGGAACACCTTTCCGGATGGCAGGCAGGTTCAAACTGCTGTTGTGAGAATTGAGATGCATGTTTGTCCAGAGGAAGAAGAAAAACCAGAAACTAGCATGTTAGCCAGATACAGTAATCGTGGTGCCTTAGTCCCCGAGATGGGAAAATACTGAGTAGCTTGTGAATGAAAAGTAGACCGACCATTTGGGCTACAGTATACTCCCAGCTAAATTTGTGTTAAAACTTTGTCATTCTTTGGCACAAATTTGCTACAAAGCTGCATTCTCTTGAGTTTCTTCTTCCAGAACTTTGGCTTATCCGTCACTTCTTGTTCATGATTTCCTGGACAGCCCTGTCCTCATGCCCTCTCTTGTCCAGGTGGGACCTGCTTCCAGGTAGCCAGAGACCAGAAGCCAGTGCTCCCCGGTGGTCTCTCAGGGATGTTCCTCTGGTGACCTTGGCAGGAGCAGGCTGGCCAGAAGCTGCCATGCTCACCTGCCAGAGAGTGACCCCTGGGGCCTGGCTCCACACTGCACGGCCTGAACACTGAGCACTTGTCCATCTGGCCTGAGAGGGGCCGTGTGGGGCCCGTGAGGGCTCTGGGCTGTTGTGTGCGACACAGCATGGGCTTGCTTGAGCTGCCTCTCCGTGTCCAGCCCCACGTGCAAGTCCTGGCCTCACCCTCCCAGGAGCTTAAAAGTGAATGAGACCCTTTGGCTTCCAGTGGTATTAACCCATGGTTCTCATGCTTTTCTCTGTGTGTGTGTGTTTGTGTCTTGCTTGTTTTCTTTTTCCAGATGACTAAGTCGGTTACTAACCCGGAGGAGTTGGGAGGACTGGCTTCACAAATGACCAGTGACTATGGGCACCTGGCTCTCCAGGGCCAGATGGCAGCAGCCACAGCGGAGCCAGAGGAGGTCTGCCACCTTAAGGCCCCTGTTTTAAGAAGCAAACACACCCTGGTCCCCACCCCCAGGGGTTGCTTTGCAGCTTAGCTCCACTCGAGAAGCTCAGTCGCAGGAGCCAGGTTTGGTTCTTCCTGCTGCACGGCCCAGGTCCTGACCTGGGGTCCCAGGCTGTGCTCAAAGCTCACGGCCCTTTCTGGGGCAGACTGGCTGAGAGCTGGGGTCCTCTGGGGAGAGGGCTTCAGACAGAAAGACTCTGTTGACAATGTCCTGCCAGGTCCCCTATCTCCTAGCCCGTCACCTGCTGCCTCACTTAGTGTGCCTGAGCCTGGGGCTGCCGTCTTCTGCCTACCTTTACACTGGTTAGCACAACCCCCTCAGTTATTTTATGTTTTCCAGAAGTTCACAGATGTGTTGGAACAACCAAGTATAGGATTTCGTGGCCCCTCTCTTGAGAAAGGGCTGCTGTCATGAAACAGAGTCAGGCCTGAATCTTCTCGGTGGGGCTCTAAGAACCAGGCCAGATCCCTGCCCCCAGACCTTTTTGTAGACTCCCCTTTATTGCCTACCTGCTTTCCCTAAACTAGCTCTCACAGTGGCCAATGTAGACATGGCCTCAGGATGCCCATGCCCTTGAGAGTGTTACAGTAGCAAACATTTGGCTCCAAAGGCCAAGGTCTGGTACCTCTGAGAAATGTGGTGGTCCCTAGGGAAGCATGCAGGATAGGTGCGGCTCCAAGAGGCCTAAAGCACCTGTACCTTCTTCATCACTGTGAGCACACAGGGGTCTAAGGCTTGAGGAATTACATGGCTCCCTAGAGAAAGAAAGCTTGGTTTGAAATAAAGAGGAAGGCCATGGATTGCAGGGGACCCTAGGAAGATGAAGGTAACTGCATTCTGTGAAATTCAGCAAGCTATTTATTGAGTACAAACCCTATTTAAGACGTTCATAAGTGAACTGGGCTGGCAAGGTGAAAGGTTGTACCTGGTCTTCTTTTCTCCTTGCAGTGACAGTCACTGTCCCCAACTACTCAGTGCTATGGTCTCTCCTGAGAGTCAGGTCTAAACATAACAGAGACTCCTAGAAATCACTGCAGAAATGAAGGCCCAGGACAGATCACTGTCTAATGTGTGTTATAACAATGCATGTAAATAGAAGTATCATATATATGTCCTTGTGCATATATATATCTAGCATGGGGTTACTCAAGTTTCTAACAGTGTCTGAATTTTGAGATTTCAGAATTACTGAAAATTTAGGCTGCAGCATGAATAATTCTGTATGTAAGAAGTATGTTAAGTCACTACCAAGAGAGAACAGTTCTCAGCTGCCCACATCAGGATTCTGTTGATTCTTTAAACAGCCCCAACCCTTTTAAAAAAACAGACTCAGCTGTTTTAGTAAGATCATCTAAACTTGTAATTCATTTGACTAGCATGTAATTTTGAATTCCACCAACCAGTGTAAGGGAACTTACGTTACAGTAAGGAAAAGTTTGGACAAAAATGTTTGGCATTGGGAGCAGGGTAAAAAAACAAGACTATGCTTGTAAGGGAAGCTTGGCCCTCTGTCCACAGAAACCTTGAAAAACGGAATCTACTGGGGCGGCACCTGTGGCTCAAAGGAGTAGGGCGCCGGCCCCATATACTGGAGGTGGTGGGTTCAAACTGGCCCCGGGCCAAAAACTGCAAAAAAAAAAAGGAATCTACTACCATCTGCCTTGGTTAGTTTAAATGCTGACCTGTCTGGGTTATATGTGGGGCCCTTTTCACAGCTGAGTTCTTATGAGCCACCCAGCCCATGTGGGAAACAAGCAGACCTCCTTACTGCAGTGCAGACCACTCAAGCAAATTATCAAATAATGCCAGAGCAGCCGGAGAGAGAAGAAATTGCTAAAAGCAAACCAGCAGGGTACTTTGGTGATCAGCCCTGTGTTTATAGCCACTGACGTTTCCATGATGGTTTTCTCTTTGCACCGTTAACATCGTGAGATGTATTTTACATTCCAGACGAGAGCAGTATGACCTAGAGTGAAAAGGGAGAATATAAAATTACCAGTGGCTTGCTAAGGAAAAGTCTTTGTGTGTATTTGCCAGACAGATACTTGGGGAGAAAACTGAGAAGCCTAGGAGATCCCTAAAGCAACGTCGTTTTTATTCCAAGACTGGAGAATTATTTGTGTACCCGCCAGGGCCCCACATCACAGCATGTGAAAATATTTATATCCAGGGCAAATAAGAAGTTGCTCCCTTGACTGCCGGCCCGCAGTCTGCTGCGTGCGGAGTCACTGTTTTGGTCTTTTCCAGAATGTGACAATGACAGGAAGAGTCATAGTTCTCTTGAACATCAAGCAGGAGCTTTTATCTGTTTGTTTTTCCATGGAAAGTTCAAATCTTTGTTAACATCACTGTGAAAACGTATTTCTTCAGAAAAGATAAAACCCTCCAGCGGCTTTGTAATTTAAGATTAGTTTCCCCTTTAAAAAAAAAAAAAAAAGAAGAAGAAAGAAGAAGAACTTGAGACCCTGTGAGCCTCAACTCCAAAATATAAATCCTAGGGAACAATTTAGTGACTACAGCGTTGTCTCTGAGGAAAATTGGCTGTAGCCACTTGTAATACAGGATGCCTTAAAAGCTGGCTGGATCATTTGTTGAGTGCCTGTGGCGAGAACCACAGTCCCCTTCCTCCACGTGAGAGGGATGTCTGCTCTAGAATTCTCTAAAACTTTCCCCTGCGAGCCTCACTTTCTCGAGTGGAACAGTGATGTCCTGCTGCTACTGGACATGCTCTTGGTTTTTTCCTTCCATGGTTTCTAACTTCAGCTAAGTTCCATTATTGCCTTTTCAACTTTCACAAGCTCTCCCGGGAAAATTCTATTTGAGCTGGTTTCAGATACACTTAAGGCCTGAGAAAAATTAGTGCCTTTTATTTGGTTTTGGGCAGTGAGGAAAGATGATCGGTACTTGTTAGCCCCCTCTCCAACTGAATCAGATCCCAAACTTCATACAGACCAGGCTTTAATTTCCTTCAGGGCACAAAACCAGGAGACGATTTTCTCCATTTCAGTTTGGACAAGAAGGGAATTGATGTTTTTTCTTGAGGCTCACATAATGCTTTCCTAAAGTCGCCAATTTAAAACCTCAAGTTTTGAGTCTTGGGGCAACATTCCTTTATAATCAACACTGGAAGTTAGCTGGATCACCCTGTGGTCTGGATATGTTTATTGGGAAGTTCAGTGTTGTTTTGAGAAGCTTAGCATTTTTAAATCCCTTATCTCCTTGAATACACTCTTCATAGTGCATCCCCTTCTGAGGATGTTAGTTGAACACAGAGTCTGTGAAGTTGCGGGTAGACTGGATTGATTCTGTTGTCCTTGTTCATTTAGGTGACCTGGCTGCCCCATATTGCCCTACAAAGCAGTAATTAGAGTTACTATTTATCAGGTCCTTACTGCATGGTAGGTGCTGTGATGGGCGCTGTCCTGTCTCCCTTCACAACTATGGTCTGTGAGACGAGAATCATTTGTTCTTCCCCATTTCACAGATAAGCAAACTGAGGCTCAGGGAGCTAAAATTGCCCAGTAGCACACAACTGTAGTCATTACTACTATAGACGCTTTATATAACTTTTGGGATTAAGTGAATGTTTGGAGTGAGTCAGTTAACAAATATGTGGAACAGCCAGAATTCATACCCAAGTTCATTGGGCATCACCAACCTGGCTCTTTCTCCGCACTGAACTGACTCTTTTCCAACAGTAAGCATTCATATGGCACTCTGAGCTTTCTGAGATGTTGTCATGTCCATTTGGCCATCCCAGCAGCCTTGGGAAGTGTGTGGGGCAGGTTCTGTCCTATCTGGTGGGGGAAAGGGAACAAAGGCCTGAAGGTTAGTGGGCTCACCCAGAGAGTCAGGCGGCTGAGAAAGGGGAGAGTGGAAGCAAGGGAGAGAGGACTGCCCACATGGGTGAAAGATTGAGAGCCGGGCTGGGACCGGGCTGAAATCCCAAGATCCCGCCCCTTCCTCTTTGCTTCAGCCCTGCTAGCCCATGAAGTAACCGAGGGAAGCCTATCTCAATTTGTCCCCTGTAATAGCACATCCCACCTGCATGCTGTCGGAGTAGGATTATGTGGCCAAGCTTCTATGGCAGGGTTCTCAACCTTCCTAATGCCGCAACCCTTTAATACAGTTCCTCATTAACTGTAACCCTGACCCGGGGTCACCACAACATGAGGAACTGTATTAAAGGGTCACAGCATTATAAGAAGGTTGAGAACCACTGCTCTATGGGGTCTCCAGGGACCTAGAAGACAGTTGTGGGACCTGGCACAGAACCACCTGTGCCAGGTGGTTGCCGGTGCCCCGGCTTGACTGGGAATGCCCAGGTCCTTGGCGGCTGTTGCCTTGCTTAGTTTCATCACTTTGTTTTCTGGCGCTGACCTTCCTTGGAGCTTCCTAACTGGAATTTCATTTCTGAAGGCTACTGGGGCAGCTGCTCCATTGATCACTTGCAGGCTCCCTTGCTGCCTGCATCGTGTCACCTCCAAGAAAGGCACTGAGCAGGGCATTGGGTGTGTTTTTATAGCATAGGCTCCCTCCTCTTGGGGCGAGGGGCCTGTTAAGCTGAGCCTAGGAGTGTTGGTGAAGATGTGCCCTGCCATCGATCATGCCTTCCCCAGGTCTCAGTTTGCCACAGCTCGGGAGCAGATCCCTCTTCCCTCCTACCCCAGGGGAATTTAGAAGGCATGTGTTGGTCCCAGTGCCCTGCATTCTGCACACAGAAAGCTCAGGCTTGGGTCTCTGCAGGAGGAATGCCCCGAGAAGGCTTGTTTGAGATCCTCAGCCTTTTCTAGCAGGATGGTTTTATGCCATTTGAACCTTGACCCATGGAGGAGCTTTGGCTATTCTACACGTTTACTTTGAGTCTTACTTTTTAAACTTAACTATTCGTAAAACTGTTAGGAAAACCAGCCCCAGCCCTGCCCTTGCTCTCAACCTTTCACATGGGTGGGCAGCCGGAAAAATACTATTTGAGTGTGGTGTTGGCTGAGAGATAACCCTTTGCAGGGCACTGGTGCTTTGCGCTGGGTGGTTTTATACAAATCTCAGGCTGATGCTGTGTCCACCCCACCTACAGTGGTCAAGAGAGAGAAGACTCTCATGTGCTTTGTTTACACACATAACAGGATTTTCTCAGTGCTGTGCAAACACAGCAAAGACAGGAATGATTTGCTAAGGCCATAAGTGACCTTCATGACCTTTAAAACTCTGGTTCACTCTGTCTCATTGTTAATTTTTATTGAGCCAGGGGTTTAAATTTTAACTCAGAGGAAGAACATACTAATAACACATTATTTCTACTACCTACTGAGGCTCCACAAGAGATTTTATTTGGGGTGGGGAGGAATTGTTCTACTAAGTAGAAAAATTAGAGTGCTGTGCTCAGGATTAAAAAACTGAATTCTCATCTAGCTTTGCCAGGGCCCAGGTGTGTGCTCTTGGGCAGATCACATCACATCACTTCTCGGGGCCTCAGTCTCTTCATCTGTAAAATGGGGGGTTGCCTTGGTAAGGTCTTTTTTACTTTAAAAAATTCTATAAATATTTCTTCCTCCATTTCCTCCATACCTAACTTTTCTAGCAGCTCTTTATCATTTAGAGATCTGTGGTTATCACTGACTTCAGAGCCCTTGAATACTTAGGGTTAAACTCTATGGACCTAGAATACGTCAAAGGCCAGGCTGAGTTTCCAACTTGAATGGGGCATCCCCTTGAGTCAGCTGGACCTTATTTTTAAGCTAACAAACTTGCCCTGCAAACAGTTCTATTTAAATGGCATTACAGCTGTGTGGGCTGAATTAGGGTGCTTTGCCCCTCTTATTGCTGCCCCAGTCGAGGCTTGTTTGCAGAGCTGCCCTGTTGTACAGTCCAGAAGTGCTGTTCATGTTTTCTACATGGAGCTGGTCAGCAGGACAGCCCTGCCTGACCATGAGGCTTGCACAGTGCCCAATGGATCATGCAAAAGACACCCACAAGATCAGAAGCTCACCTTTCTGGATCATGAGAATATCAATGGATTTAAAAGTTCTTTGGATCATAAAGAGTTAAGAGGAAGAAGTTTTGGGTCTCAGGAAGTGTTTCAATAATAGAAGAACAGCAGCAGCTTAAGGAGCTGCCCCTCATTCTCCAAAGTCCCATTCCTTATACCCAAACAAGATGACTTCAGAAGGTAACATCCAAGTGGCAAAATCTCCCAGGTTTTGTTCATAATACCTGAGATTTTTTAATAAACACTCTTGATAGACGCTAGCAGGTAAGCTGTAGCTTCTAGGTCACATAGATTCTTCAGAATAACACTGACTTATGCTTGAAGTTTGGGGATTTTGTTTTTAGTTGTATACCTGGGTTGGAGGGCAGATTATTGATCAGACCAAAATAAAGATTGACGTGAAACAGGATCAGAGGAGTGCAAACTTGGGGGAGGCGGAAGTGGTATTACACCTTAATCAGACAGGTGGCAGCTTAGCCTTAGTGGACCTCATTTGGTTTGTCTCAGGCCAAGCACCTTTTATAATCACACATCCCAGGGGACATTAAAAGAACGTGTGCCCACTGAGCTTTTAGCTTTAAAAATGGATCTTTTAAAGCAAATCTCAAAGCTTACCTTATAGAAAGGCACTCTGGGCTCAGAGTGGTCACTCACCTGTGGTACAGCTGAGGAATGGGGTGCTTCGGTTGGTAAACATCAGTTTTGCAAGAACCTAAATATTTAAAAATATGCTCAATATTCCAATTACATTTTGAACTTCTAATTACCTTCTGGGGCTGTAGTGAGGAATAAATGAAACTAACCATATTCCCTGCTTGGAGGAAGTCTTGACACGCGGTAGGGGCTCACTAAATGCTTGTTGAATGAATAACATAATTATCCAGAGAGTTCAGTTCATCTTGTTAGCATACTTACCTGGGGGCATGAGAAGCAGATAAGCTATAAACCAGAAAAGGTACCAAATACCAGGAGGTGGAGTGCCAAGACCTGAGATACAGGCTGGCTTAGTGGGAACTGTGGGCATTTTATAGTCTCTAAAAAGGGAAGCAAAATCAACCAAATTCCATACTTCACCAAACACAGATTCCCAGCAAGAGTGGAATTTTCCTAGCCAGGCCCCCATAGGACGCAGGGGAAATTTTCCACATAGGGAAGATCTCGACGGCAGGGTCCATCACACCTCTCCTCCCCCGTCCCGGGCTTGCCTCTGCAGATCGGCTTCCAGATTCGCACGCGCGTGCAGGACCTGGGCCACGGCTGCATCTTTCTGGTACAGAAGGCGGGGGCCCTCCAGGTGTGCCCCACGGATAGCTACACCAAGAGGGAGCTGATTGAGTGTGCCCGTGCTGTCACAGAGAAGGTAAGGAGCAGCCCTTGGGTCAGAGTAAGCCACGTTAACCCGCACAGGTACTCAGTCACCTGCTGCGATCAGGGACAAAGCAGGCAATTGTGCTGAACCCAGCCAACACAGCCCTCTCACCCTCCTCTCACAACCCAGGCTGTCCAGGGATGGGTGTATCAAGGAGCAATCCCTAGGCACAGAGATTTGAGGCTGTGGGAGCGACTGTCCCACAAAGGTCAGGCCCTGGCATCGCCACCCTTAAAGGGCTCTCCTGTGGACAGATGGGGTCAAAATCGCCATCAGCAGCCAGGAGCCGCTCCCCGGATCCTCTTTGACGCTACTCGTGCTCTGATCTTCCTTCTCAGGGAGGCACCTCGGTGCTCAGGGCTGAGTCAGAAGGACTAGAAATTCCTTTCGTGTCACCTTTGAACTTCACAGATGGGACGGTGATGTGGGGGAGGGTAGGGGACTGGGGCAGTTGCGGGGCCCCTTTGTGAGGAGCAGGAGCTTGTGCTGGGCGTCCTCACTAATGGTGTAGCGAACTGGGCTCTAAGATCTGAGCCAGGTCACTTTAGCTTTCCACGCCTCAATGAGATAAAAATATATAATACCGGCTCACAGGATTGGGAAGATTAAACGTAGCAATACGGGCAAAGCTGCTTGGCGCTGCGTCAGATACGTAGTTAAACATTTAATACCTACTAGCTGCTGTTTCCTGTAAACTTTCCTCCCAAACTCTCTTTTCCTGGGCAGATTTCCCCTGGTTGACAGTCATACTCTGAACACCCCTTCATTCCCAAGCTGCTCTCTCATTGTCCCCAGCACACGAACCTCATGCTTTGCTTGTGTCTGAGTCATTTTTCAGCCAGCTCTTCTGCAGGCGCAGGGGGAAGCCCCTGGGCCCGGATGGCCCTTCCCTCACCCTTCACTCAGTTCGTAGGACATAGAGCCCTGTACTGTTGAGACACTTGGCAATAGGACTCAAGGGACAGGCAGGGGAAGCTCCCACCACAGAGGCCACTCTATCCGTGGCCCCTCACCAAGGTCAAGCCGTGGTGGTCTGGCCTTCTCCTGCAGCCCACAGGCCCATCCGGCCTCCCCAGAGTAAGGAAATAAATCTCTCAGCTGGAGGAAGGCATTTTCCCTCCCTTGAAAGCCCTCCCTTGTTACTGAGGTCACTCTCGCCAAGTTCCCCGGAGAAGACCCTGTAGCGGGAGCAGGAGGGAGGAGGGTCCAGGCTGCCCAGTACAGGCGTGGCTGGATAGCACCATCTTCCTGAGCTGGCCTTGACCTTGTTACCTGGCACAGCAGCAAGTCCCTGGTTTAGGCTGCCCAGACAAGGGTGTCCTAAAAGGACCCGGGTGGCGGTGTGTGTGTGTGTGTGTGTGTGTGTGTGGCTGGCTCTTAGACTTTTCAACTGCTCCCTGCTATGTGTCCCAGCCCCCTCATCCCTGCCTGTGTGCCTGCGTCTGGCATGTCCTGAGGTGGGTGTACAGCGCACTGCCACGAGCTCCTGACTAGGTTGCCTGTGTCCTCAGCCCCTAGTGACTAGTAGGTGCTCAGTGAATGCCCGTCACTTGCACACCTCTCTAGAGGGTGAGATGCTGTTTCCAGACTCTCTTTTCTTTCACCCTGGCCAAAGAATGTCTTATACTCCCCTTCCCCGACAGACTTCTAGTTATACTTGTCTCCGGCTTTGTCACCCTTGCTCTGAAGGTCCTTTCCAGAAAGTGATGCTTCATTCCCAGGCCAGCCACAGGCCAGTCCGGCTCATCTTTTCCTGGTGGAACCTAGTAGCATGTATTTATTTTTTTTTCCTCATCATATATCATTTTATTGAGGTTTAATTTATGTAAAATAAAATATACAGTTAAGATGTATAGTTCTCAGCCCAGGTGACTCCCACCCTAATTAAGACATGAAACATTTTAATTCCGTCCACATGAGCAGCCACTGATCTTTTTGAGCTGAGTTTTCCCTGCTCTAGGAACTCTCACAGATGGAATCACATAGTATGTAGCCTCGTGAGTCTTTTTGTACCACATGATGTTTTTAAACTCCATCTGTGAGGTGTCTGCCTGCCTCTAGGGTTCTCCGGGAGTCATCACACGTGACCTTGCACATCTAGTGTCTCTCCCTACTTTGCAGAAGTGAACAAATACATTGGAAGGGAAGTTTGGGGCACCGACCTGGGATTCTAAAATGGAATAGAGGCAGGAGATGTTGGGGTCTTGGCAGCAGCCCAAGTGGACTAGTCTATGGCCAAGGAAGACATCTGCAGGGACCTCAACAATGGGGTACAGGCTGAGTTGGTATGAGGGTGCCTGGTGATCTCTATAAACGCAGACTATGGGATGGGTATTGCTGGGGGTTCTGGGTTGTGTGTCCCTATCTCCCCAGGAGGGACTGGTCCTGACCCCAACCCTCTGGCACCAGCTGCTGTTGGGCTTGTGGGCTTTGATGGACATCCTTGCATTTTGCTTTCTTCAGTTTCACTCTGTGGTTCTTGAACCAGACCCTCAGTGCTGTTGGATGTATGTCTATTTTTGAGGCCATCTCTTTATGAAGGCCGGGGTTTGGGTGCTGGTTCTTATTGAGCAAGACACTCAAAGCTTCCAGTTGCTTCTCAGTGAACACCGTTGTCTCCTGTATGTGTGTATCCGGGATTTGTCTTTTGGAAGCCCCTCCGAGCCTGACATCTTCTGATCCAGATGTGCTCCCCTGATCAGGTCTGGTGATGAGTGACACAGTAGCATTTTGAGGAGGGTCAGGCACGTGAGGAAGAGAAACAGTGCCTTACATGTTGGCTTTGTTTTCTTGTTTATGAGGCCAGGAGAGGCTGGAATGCACTGCCCCTGGTGTGAGGGGCTGGTGTACCCCTGAACTACAGTGGCCAGGAGTGTTGCAGCCTGGCTTTGGAATGTGGTGGGTACTTAGGAAGCAGTACCTGAATCCTTCCTGCCAAGCCATGTCCGTTTCTGCAAAGATCTGAGAGACACAGAAGGCAGAGAGTATCTCAAACTGAGCCTCTGAACTGGTGCTGTAACTCCCCTGCCCTGGCCAGCATGTTTGAAGAAATGTACATAAAAAACATTTTCAGACTCTGGTGGCGCCTGTGGCTTAGTGAGTAGGGTGCGGGCCCCATATACCAAGGGTGGCGGGTTCAAACCCCGCCCCAGCCAAACTGCAACAAAAAAATAGGCAGGCGTTGTGGCGGGCGCCTGTAGTCCGAGCTACCTGGGAGGCTGAGGCAAGAGAATTGCCTAAACCCAGGAGTTGGAGGTTGCTGTAAGCTGTGTGACACCACGGTACTCTACCAAGGGCAATAAAGTGAGACTCTGTCTCTAAAAAAAAAAAAAAAAAACCCTTTCCCCAAAACATTTTCAGACTCTTCTTTGGGTCTGCCATGGTCGAGGATGGCAGCTTTGTGCACACAGATTAATACAGGGCTCTTGGCCTCAAAGAGCCTCCAGCCACTCGCCTGACACACACTGTTTCTAACCTTGGTGCTCTGGGTCATCCTGAGGGCACAGATGGTGTTGTAGAATCCTAGGAGGCAGGGCTGTCCCTGAAAAAGGGGGATTGTAGCAGAATCCAGACCCAGTGGGTGTGTTTGGAGAGACCAGCAGCTGGCTGTGTGGTTAGGAAGGGAGCTCAGTGCCTTTCAAAAGCCAGGAGAGATTTGTAAGCAGGTGTGTCCTAGGAAAGTGTCTGTAGAATCAGTGAGGGTCTAACAAAGGGGCTGGGGGGTGGGTGGGCAGCGTAGGGCTTCCAACATGGAAAACACTGGGGTGAACCCCTTCGCCAACTCGCTGGACCCTCCAGTCCCTGGTATTTGGTGGTGGATTATGGCTCACAGGAGCATTGCAAATGGACAGGTCATATACATTGATGCCCTCTGAACTCCAGTCCCTCTGCCCTCCACCCTGGAGAATTTCTGATCATGAGGCAGCCAAGTGAAGGAGCAGGGAGTGTCAGCCAGGGGTCTGTTCCTAGCAAAAATCTAATAAGGGGATGGAATGGCCACACCTTTCACAGGAGCCTCATCCTTTACCCCACTTTGTGGTTCCAGAAACATGATAGTAATTAAATAAATAATAGCATCTGCCCTTTTCTCACCACTTGCTACATACATTTTTTTTCCTACTTAATCTCCCTACAACCCTAATAGGTGAGAAGTATTAATAACAGCCCATTTTAAAGATAAGAAAACTGAGGTCACGTGACCTGTAAATGGCAAAGCTGATATTCAGACCAAGGCTATTAACTCCAAGTGTGTGGGCTTTTAACCCCTCAGCTTCACTGACTCCAAGGAGTGAGAATTTAGTGTTTTCAGAGAAAACACACTGGGGTCATCTTTTCTCCATTTCCCGGGTCCCCCTTACATTCCCTTTCTTCCTGTAGGTGTCCTTGGTGCTCTCAGCTCTCCAGGCTGGGAATAAGGGAACCCAGGCATGCATCACAGCTGCCACGGCCGTGTCTGGGATCATCGCAGACCTGGACACCACCATCATGTTTGCGACGGCAGGGACACTGAATGCTGAGAACAGCGAGACCTTTGCAGATCACAGGTAACTGGAGGAAAGTGGGGTTCAGGCTAACCTCCTGAAACTCACACTCAACTTTGGAGACACTGCCTGGGAGCCAGAAATGTGGTTAAATGTTTTGATTTCAACAAGATGCTCAAGTGGAGAAAGGGAACCACACAATCAAAATATGCCCCTTTGCCAACTGTAAACATGGGGTTGTGTTTGAACTTTGTCTTTGACAGCCCTGAGGACAGCCTTTTGATCTCTCCTTTTCCAAGCTGGAGAGCTGTTCCCCTGGCTGCTCACCCACCCCAGCAGGATCGGGAGTGGCAGAGGCAGGCGTGTTCAGATGTTATTGTTTGGGGGGAATTGGGACTGAAAGCCTGCTCTCTGCCGGGCTTTCACTGAGAACACAGTTCTTTAGCTCTTCAGAAGGCTGGTACTAGAGATTCCTCATTTGCTGCTGGGGATCCCCAAATCTTCACCATGGGCCCAATACCTTTCTTCTTCTCCATTTGGCAGGCTGGCCTGGGGAGGAGATTCCCAGGGCTCTGTCCCTTTCAGAGCCTAGCACCTTGGGCTCTGATCCCTGGACTAAGTGCCCCAACCCATGTGTCTTCACAGCTCACTGTGAAGCTGCCAAGTGTTTTAAAGGGTAGTAGAAGCTGCAGGAAAGAAGCTGACCTGTCATTTAACTGTAGGCAGGGACAGGGAGCCAAACTGCAGGGCCTGTTGCAGACGTTTGCATAGCTACCAGCTCTGAAAATGCTGGTTTGCCCCATTTTGCATACATGGGAGGGATTTCTTTTCTTCCTAACTGTCTGTAATCACATTTTGTCCTTTGTCTCCCCTCCTCCCCACCCCCTCAGGGAGAACATTCTGAAGACAGCCAAGGCCTTGGTGGAAGACACGAAGCTGCTCGTGTCTGGGGCTGCGTCCACTCCAGACAAGCTGGCCCAGGCGGCCCAGTCCTCGGCAGCCACCATCACTCAGCTGGCCGAGGTGGTCAAGCTGGGAGCAGCCAGCCTGGGCTCCAATGACCCTGAGACCCAGGTATGAGCAGGGCCTGGGGAGTGCATCCTCCTCGTCTTCTCACCAGAGCTGTACAGCAGGCCTCAGACGAGGCCTAAGGCAGGGAGGGCAGGAATTCGTGCGTGAGTGCCTCTGCTGTGAGAAGCTGGCAGTTAACCACACTGATGGAGAGTGGCTGGGACCGGGGATTAAGCTGACAGACTGGAGAGGAGTGTAGAAGGAAGACCCAGCCAGGCCTGGGGAAAAACTGGAGGAGGAGTCTAGAGGGTCCCACCTGCAGGTCGCAGTGGCCATTGGTGGAGCTTCCCCGAGGGTCGGGAGGAAGGCGAGTCAGTTGGGGCATGTGCCAGAGATACACACAGGTGAGACTTGGAGTGGGCCTGAGTCTGAGTCTGCTCAGGCACAGGGCTGTGGGTTCAGGGACTATTGCCATAAAGCTAGTGACAGCCACAAGACAAGAAAAGCTTGGGCTGAGAGAAGAAGGGCCAGGGCAGAACCCGAGGAATCCAGCATCTAGAACAGAGTTACAACAGCAAATGAGAGGCAGCAGCGGCTGGTGGAAGGAGCAGCCGGGGCGAGACGTTAGGAGGAGGGAGCGTTCCAACCCATCACACACGGCGAGAGGCAAGAAAAATGACAGCCTGGGGACTGGCCATTGGCCCTAGTGCCACTGAGGCAGGGCAGCCACCAGATGGGAGTGGAGGAATGAACTCTGTGTGTCTGGATGACCCCTGTGAAAGATTTGGCTCCGCAGGGTAGGGAAGGGCTCTGGGCCTTTGGATTTGCTGTGGTTTTAGCCGTTCTGTTGAAATGACCTGCCTTGCGGCTCCTCTCCCCACCCAGACCATAGCTCCTCAGGGACCGTCCCCATGGTTCACTCACCTGTGAAACCTGCATACCCAGCACTGCCCGGCCACATAGTGGATACTCAAGACATCGGTTCAGCTGTTGCATTAACAGCCAACCAGGGTCATCAGTGAACAGATACTGCCCATACCCAGAGTGCAAAACTCAAAAATCCCCCAGTTCTGTCTATTCCCAGCACCATCAAATAGTAAAAACATCAGTTTCCATACTCAGTAAACTAGTCTGTTTGGACAGAGCTGGATAGAAACTCCCTACCATTCCGTGCCCAGGGGGACGGCAGTGACGCTGGTTAACATGAGGCCAGCTCTGTTCCTTGAGGGCCTCCCCGAGGAAACATTCCTTGTGTTCCTGTTTTATCCCTTCTGCTGGATTTCTCTCTGATAGCATCAGAGTTCAGACTGGCTGCCTTTTGGAATTCTAAGCATTCTCAGAAATCCCTGCCTGCAGGATTGTTTTTACCCCCGTGGAGGAAGGAAACACTTGAAAACGTGTCCCCGGACTTGGAACCGGGTATCAAAAGCACTTTCTGCTAGCCCTGTTCAACTTCAAGAGAAGTGAATTGGCCAGGGGGGATTTAAATCTTTTAACACAGAGAAATGTATTGAATTGCTATTGAATCTTTATTTATTTTTTTTTTTTTGCAGTTTTTGGCCGGGGCTGGGTTTGAACCTGCCACCTCCGGCATATGGGGCCGGCACCCTACTCCTTTGAGCCACAGGCACCGCCGTGTTGAATCTTCTTTTTTTAGTCATTACTATTATAATTTGTCATCATGCACAAAAGTAGAGAAAAATCATAAAACTCCTGTGTCACTAACTACCTCTCAGCTTCAATGATTGTCACCATTCACCTTTCTTTTCCATTCATCCTCTGTCCCCCACTTTTATTTTTACTAGTATTATTATAGTAAAAAACATTTTAACCAGGGATCTACCTTCTTAACATGCCAAGTGTGCAGTACAGTGTGGTAAGCTACAGACACAATGTGCTATTATAGCAGATCTCTAGAACTTACCCTGCTTAGCCAGATTTTTACTCTCTGACGAGCAGCATCTCTGGTAGCACCGGTTTGCTGCTCTGATTCTGTGAGTTTGACCACATCAGATGTCTCATTTAGTGGAACCATGCAGTCTTTGTCCTCCTGTGACTGGCTTATTTCACTTACTGTAATGTCCTCAAGGCTTCTTTCACATTCTCACAAATGGCAAAATTATCTTCTTTTTTAGAAGGGCATAAACATTCTATTAAATACATTCAGGGAGTGGTAATACTCCGTTGCATTTACCCCATTTTCTTTATCCGTTCATCCAGCCATGGCCATTACGTTGTTGCCCCATTTTGGCTATTGTGAACGGTGCTGCTGGGAACATGGTGCTAAAATCTTGAGATCCTGCTTTCAGTTCTTTCGAATGAATATCTAGAAGAGGGATTGCTGGATCATGCAGTGGTTTTAGTTTTAGTTTTTTTACTGTCTCCCGTAGCAGCCACACCGTTTTCCATTCCCACTAAGAGCACAAGGGTCTCGCTTTCTCTGCATCCTCCCCAACACTTGTCTGCTTTGGTAATGGCCCTTTTAACAGGGGTGACAGGATATCTCGTGGTGGTTTTGATTTGCATTTCCCTGCCGACTGGAGTCACGGCGCTTCTTTGCATATACCTGTTGGCCATTTGTGTTGGCCTTTTTGGAGAAGTGTCTATTCTTGTCCTTTACCCATATTTTTATTGGATTAATTTTCGCTTTTTGCTATTGCTATAAGATCTTAACTCCCAAATTGTTTAAATATCCAGAAGCATCAACTTCTAACGACATCTCAATAATAAAATCGTCCCCTTAGGAAAATGTCCCTACGTGTTGGGGAGTTGTCCCGTGATAGGATGGGACAGCATGTCAGGGTGTTGTGGATGCTGGTGGCAGAGCCTGGCTCCCTGTGCCTGTGTCTTCTTGCTGCCCGCCTTCCCCTCTGTGATCTTAGTTATGTCACGCCTCATGAGCACCATTGTGCTCCCCACCTGTTTTGTGGGTCCAGAAGACTGGCCACAGCTCCCTGTGCCATGGGGGCTAGAGGGGGAGAGGGCTGGACACCAGAGCAGTGCTGTGCTTACAGCTATCCGGGGTTCCTGTGTTTTCACGGCTGTCATCTCATTCTTTATCCCTGCAGTACTCATTCTACTGCAGGTGGAATTCCACAGAGTGTACCTTAGCATGCAGGCTGCACGGCCCTTTGGATCACAGTGATCACTATTTGAATTGCTACTCCCCCACCCCAGGCTCTGGGAGTGTGGACATAAGGATTTTGTAGTTTCCCTCAGGCAGGCAGCAGTGAGGATTAGACGACATAGCGTGTGTAGGGTGCTTGCCTCAGTGCCTGGAACACTGCCCTCAATAAAGGGAAGGTGCTGTAGAAGTAGGAGTTGTTGGCCGGGTGTGGTGGATCATGCCTGTAACCCTAGCACTCTGGGAGTCTGAGATAGGCCCATCACTTGAGCTCAGGAATTCCAGACAAGCCAGAGCAAGACTGAGACCCCATCTCTACTAAAAATAGAAAAGCTTGGCTCGGGCACCCATAGCACAGCGCCAGCCACATTCACTGAGGCTGGTGGGTTCAAATCTGGCCCGGGCCAGCTAAAAATAATGACAGCTGCAACAAAAAATAGCCTAGCATTGTGGCAGGTGCCTTTAGTCCCAGCTACTTGGGAGGCTGAGGCAAAAGAATCGCTTAAGCCCAAGAGTTTGAGGTTGCTGTGAGCTTTGATGCCCTAGCACTCTACCGAGGGTGACAAAGTGAGACTCTGTCTCAAAAAAAAAAAAAAAAAAGAAAGAACGAAAAGAAAAAGAAAAGCTATCCATGCACTGTGGCAGGTGTCTGTAGTCCCAGCTACTTGGGAGGCTGAAGCAGGAGGATCGCTGGAGCCTAGTTTGAGGTTGCTATGAGCTAGGCTGATATAGCACTCTACATTAGGGCAACAGAGTGAGAGTCTGTCTTAATAAAAAAAAATAGGAGTAGGAGTTGTTATCGGGGCTACTACACTGAGAACACACAAGCACAATGCCCAACGGTGTGTCATTCCCACCCATGGCAGGTGCGTCTGATTCAGAGCCCAGCACACTGAAAAGACAGCTCATGTCTGTGTGAAATTAGGAAAACAAACATTCAGGTGGGGACACACCTGTGTCTTCATTCCACAAGCATTTACTAAGTGTCTGCTGTGTGCCAGTGTGCGTTCCGAGTGTGAAATAAAACAGACTTCCTGGCCAAGCCTCCCGGAGCTTGCGTGCCAGTTGGGGCAGAACACAGATGAGTGAAGGTGAATAATGACAAAGTAACTCCACAGACAGAGAAGTGCTGTTGATAAAAGAGCAGTCTGACTGCATTTCTGTATTGGGGGTGAGTCTGTATCTGAAAGGGTCAGGAAGTTCTCTGCAGACAAGCCAGATGAGCTCCAGGTGGAGAGGGGGACAAGTGCAGAGGCCTGGAACAGGAATGAGTCAGGATTTTCCATAAGGAATGCAAAGCCATGTGCCCACAGCACGCTGAGTAGGCAGAGGCCCTTGCAGGCCGAGAGCAAGCTTGGGGTTCTCACTGTTTATGGCGCCGGTTGGCGGGTTACTGGCATTGCCTCTCAGGCGTCTGCAGCAACTCGTCTACCAAGCGGAGGTGAGGAGATTGCAGACATGCTGTGCATTTAGACTCAAGTTCTCTGTTCTAGCCCAGCGTCAGCCTCCCCTGGGAAGCACTTGAAAGTCCAGACCCTGGGCCAGGCAGTGTGGCTCACACCTGTAATCCTAGCACCCTGGGAGGCCAAGGCAGGTGAATTACTTGAGCTCAGGAGTTCAAGACCAGCCTGAGCAAGAGCAAGACCCCCTCTCTAAAAATAGCTGGTGTTGTGGCAGGCACTTTGTAGTTCCAGGTACTCAAGAGGCTGAGGCAAGAGGATAGGTTGAGGTTGATGTGAGCTATGATGCCATGGCACTCGACCAGGGTGACAGAGTAAGAGTCTGTCTCCAAAAAAAAAAAAATCCAGACCCTGTATCAGAAATCTCCAAGGGTGGCTTCTTCCATGCTGCAGGCATTCGAGCTGCCAGTGTAGAAACTTGTTCTTGACTCGGCGCCTGTGGCTTAAGCAGCTAAGGTGCCAG